AAAAACATGATTGAGGTCAGTGCAGGTCATTCATTAGCCAAGTGTGCTTACATTTTTAGCCATATTAGTTCAATACATTTTTAGAACCTTGATTTTTCTTAATGTAACCGGTAGAAAACTTTTCAAGAATGACAGATTTTTGTAGACATATAATTATTCAGTTAGTCAAGTGTACTTTATGAATTCATGACAAAGAACTGTGAATAGGCCATAAGTTTGCATCTTGTTTGACAATTTAATCTATTCCGTTAATTCTTATTTCAAAGAGGCTTGTTGATAAAACTTTCCAGATTTTATAATTTTCAACTAAGAATAATAATAAAATAACTATCGTCTGGATCCCGAGCCATCCTGGAACTCAGGGTAATGAAAAGTTGGATCAACCAGCCTCTCGGGCTCACTCGAAGCCAATATCAAATTTCCCAGTTCCATATTTCGATTTAAAAACTTGGCCAACCAAATGCTGACGGAAAAGTGGCAGCTAGAATTGGTTAAGATAAAAATAATCTTAAATTATCTATCCCAAGAGTAAATGAGAAGAGAAGAAATGAAAGTGATTGATTAAACCGATCAATGAAACGTTTTCTTGTCACAAATTGTTTTAATCACAGTAAATGAGAGTTTTTGGGATAACAATTTTAAAAGCGCATATTAATACTAGTATAATGTGAATACAGTATATACAGTATTGTGTGAATTCTACAGAATTGTTGGCATTAATCAATTTAAAGTTTAACGTTTGTCTTTTCAATTTTCCTTTTTTTTAATTGTTTAATTTAATGAAAATAGAATTATCCAAGTTCATCATGAAAATTTAATGAAACTGTTGTTATTCGAATTCAACAGACAACATGTGAATTTTCATGATGAACTTGGATAACTCCATTTTAACTTTAAATTGATTAATCCATTAATGTGGAAATACTAATATAGTATAAAACGTAAACAGTCAATGCAAAAGTACATAAAAGATGCACACATACATACATACGTACATACACACATGCATACATACATACATGCACACATACATACGTACGTACGTACGTACGTACGTACATACATACATACATACATACATACATACATACATACATACATACATACATACATACATACATACATACATACATACATACATACATACATACATACATACATACATACTTTGAAATTGTGCACATGTTGTACACGCACGTCGTGGAAGCAGCCAAACATAGAGACGATAGAATGCTGCACTGCTTACAAATGCTCTCTCCGTATAGATGTACAACGCTTGTACAATGTATGGTCGTTGCAGAATCATTTGTGCCCGTCAATACACACACGCGCGCGTGCGATCACATACAAACACTAGCACACATTCACATACATACACATGCACAAAATCACACGCATTTTACATACACATGCATATGCTCACATAAATTCATCTATACGTCACGTACATGTGATGAATATGTTCAGCAAAACTTCATTTGTATTTATGAACGAATTGATGATGTTTTTAAAAATTGAAAATACTGAAAACCGCTGAAAATTTTGATTTCATGCCAGATGAATAAAAAACTTTAAACAACAAAATTCCTGCATTCTGATACTGGAATAAGCAAGACTTGAAGTATTTAAAATATTAGAAACATGAATTTATAAATTTATTAAAAATTTATAATTCCGTAAATTTATTCCGTATAAAACATTGTTACCGAAAAATAAGTTGTTGTTATCTTTCGAGCACAGTCCAACATTCTGAACCAAATTATGTTGAATGTTTAACTAGCAGACAAATTTAAATACTCAAGAACTCGCGCATTTCACATTTTGAAAATTTATTTTTTATTTTCATTTTTTTATGTTTATTGTTTATAGTTAATGCAAAAAACGCCAGAATGAAGTCTGAATGAACAAAACGGGCAACGTAAGCTGGGAAGCTTTTCCTGCTCTGTCTACAAAAATGGACTTTAAGTCTCAATTGATGATTCGGGTGTCAGAGCAGCAGTTTTTTTACCATCATTTCAATGGTCACTCATTCTGCAGTTGAATTCTTTAAAACTTAACACTAAACCTCAAGTCATCTGAAGGTTGGGATGGCATGAGACAGTTAAGGCGTGAAGAACGACGCACATGCACTGCATTCATGTGCAGTAGGTGATAGTTGTCGTTAGATGCAATCCAATAATTGTTCATGTTTTGTTTGTTTTACATAAACTCACTCTTCGGCTGCAACATTAAAAATTTTCAACACATGTGTGATAGATTATTAAAAACATCACACAATTTAAACGAAGTTTTTCAAGCGATTTTTGGAAAAGCTGCACAAATTGAAATTAATCAAGCACAAGCCGACAGCTTGTTTGAATTTGCATTTGAATATACAATGTACTGTTTAATACACGCGGTAGAGATGCGGTGAACGAACAGCAACGCGCAAGTCTTCGAAGGAAGCGTGCGACGAAAACAGATTATCGATTTTTGATTAGCTTTCAATTCACAAATTTCCAGTGCACTATGAGCAAAGCTTAACAAAACAAAATGTTAAAATGTTTTTCGTTGAAAAATTTAAATGTTATGGTGAGTCTAAAATGTTCAATAAAAACTTTTCTCACCTCGATAACATGCTACATATAGGCGCACACGGAGATGTTAAAAATGTATTTAGAAATAAAGTTTCTTAATGGTAAATAATAGTCAAATTTATCTGAGCAATGAAGATCATGACGGAATCATCAACCGAAGGTTGTCGGTCATTAAGTCAATTCCCCGTTCATCCTTATGAAAAAATTTAGAGGATAATTGAATAATCAATTTTTTTACACACGAGTTACACACATACATGTTCAAAATCGAAATGTTCCTTATACATATTTATGTGTTATAATCTTTTATTCTTACTTTCATCTACGAAGAATAAAAAACTTTTGCCTTTTCTTGACGATCCTACTCATTTTCTTGTAACTTCGTTAGTCTTATCTAGGATAGATTTATTGCAACTCGCTCTACTATGGTCTTCCTGATTCTACATTCCATCCTTTAAGTAAAGCTTTTAACTCTGCTGCTCGTCTAGTTTCTCGTGCTCCTATCTCTTCCCACATATCTCCATATTTTTTTTGCACTGGCTACCTATAAAATATAGCATAATTTTTAAAATTCGCACATGAATGTATAAGTCTCAATCTAAATTATCTCCTAAGTACTTATCAGGTATATGAATTGAACCTAAACGCGCCTATTTACCATTGTCTTCTTGTTCTCACTTATTAACTCGTGTTAAACACTCCTTTGCTAAATCTGCATTTGCTTTTTTTGGCCCTTTCCTCTTGTAACAAATTCATAAATTCGTGAAAAGTATTAACTAGGCTATCGCAGAACCTACCAGCTAAATTCATTTTCTACTGAGACAGTCTGTGCTGGAGTTGAAGCTCGGTTGGAGCTGTCAATAACACTAATAACAAAAATTCATTTTTACCCGCCATGTTTTTACCGATAAAACTTTATTGCTTTCATTAATTCACGAATTATGCTGAAGAGGTATTAATAGCCAAATTTAGTTTGCTATGTTGCACTTCATAAATATTTAGGATACCTTTTATCTTCTACTTTTTTCATCTGAACAAAACATCTGAAGGTCGCCAACAAAAATTAAATACAACAAAGGCGTCCACTTCGGAGGCAGGGGTGTCTTCCACAAAAGTAAATTTCGCACTTTTGTTTGTTTATCTTGCCAGGATCTGCGTCGACATGATATAAATATGTATAAAAAGTGTGGATGAGTAAAAAAAATGGAGCTAAAACAATTTTCTCCCAACTGAAGTTTTTCCGCTCAAAAAATATTGCATTAGTCGGCGCCACTAAAATACGTGCTGGATGGATTCAAACAAATAACCGATGTGAACGTTCGTTATATATATATTGATTGATATATATGGTTTGTTGTAAAATTGAGTGAACGCTTCAAAAGCCTCATATTTAAATTCTGACAAATCATTTTTAAGATTCAATTAAAATGTTCAATTAAAATGTTCAATTAAAATTCAAAACATGACATCCTATCTAAAACGTTCACTTATTGTACAGATCATAAATTAAAAATGAAATAACTCAAAAATAATAAAATGTAAAAATTGAACAGAATCATTCATCACATATTAAATATCAACACAATCAGCAATGCGCATGTACGTACATGTACATGTAGACTGAGATTTTAAAATTTCAGAACGTTAAATAAGCAGACTTCGTAAATGAAATAAATTCATATAAATTGTGAACGTAAATTACATTGAAAATAATTCATGGCATGTTAGTTTCAATCCATTCCCCGCAATTAAGAACGTGAAGTTAAAAAGAACTCCGCTCGGCGATCTTATAGACATAGAAAGGTAGGTAGGCAGGTAGGTAGGTGGGTGGGTAGGTATGTAGGTTAGGTAGGTAGGTAGGTAGGTAGGTAGGTAGATAGGTAGGTTAGGTAGGTAGGTAGGTAGGTAGATAGGTAGGTTAGGTAGGGTAGGTCGGTAGGTAAGCTCTGAAAAACTCCTTATACGATGTACATTGTATTACGAATAGTTAGATCTTAGGTTAAAGTTAGAAAACCGAACAAGCCAAAGAAAATTTAGCAATGAAAATCTTTAAAAAATTAAGAACAAATGAAAAAAGGAAAACAATAATCAGAGCTCTGGAAAAACTTTTGAATAAAATGTATTTACCTGAAAAAAATATTTTATACTCATTAATTAGGAGACAACCAGTGCAAGAAAATAAGAAGATAGAAAGAAATAAGAAAGACAGCTGAACAGTTGGACCTGCGGCAGAGTTTAAAATCTCAGGCAAAAATTCAACGAGCTGAAAAAGTTCAATACAAAACTAGAAAATTAAAAAAAATTTGACGACCACAAAAATTCAAAAAACATTATTGATCTACAATAGATGATGATATAAATATGTGATAAAAACTCTGAATAAAAGTCTAAAAAATTACTGATGAATAAAAATGAGATTAATTAATTAATTTTTATTAATTAAAACACACAAATTCAGACTAAAAAAATTTAAACTGATAATAAGAGATTAAAAAAATACCTTCACAAAACCAGATCTATCAATAGTACATGAGATAACGTCAACCTAACCACAAGCAAGCACTTTTGACTCAAAATAACATCTTCACATAATATATACTATATAATGAAAGCAGAATGGATGAGCCTTTTGGCATGCTGATTGTCACAAACTCTCTGAATTGAGAATGTAGAATTATTCAACGGTTTCAAGAAAAAGCTTTAACTGTCCCAACCTAACTCAACTCTTGCTGACTAATGTTTAGCAATAAGCACAAGATCGACAGTAAGTTACGACTTGCAATAAAAAAAAGACATCTGACAACAATCACGCTGGTAAATATATAACCTCTATTTAATAAGGAGACGAGAGAAAACAACATCGGATCGATCACTTGAATAAAACAACGGTCAACTTAATTAACTGGATCACAAAAATTGAATATTCACACGTGACGTTAAATAAGATGAAGATAGCAACTGCACATCGTGCACATAGATGTAAAACGTTGAACATGTTACCAATGAAACTTGTATGCCTAATTCTGAATGCCGATTTTAAATTTTAAATAACCACTCAAATGAAAGTCAAGTTGAAATGCGTAATATGAATTTCAAACATCTTGATGCAGTAACGATAATCATTAGATATTCAATTAGTCACAAATAATTTCTATTAGAGAACGTGATTGCATGACATTGAAACGAATCAACATTCGTTATAACATTCATCGTAACATTATACAAGGTCTGTGCGTAAAAAATCTCAACACATAGGTAACATAACAAACACAACAGTCATTACGTACGTAACGCAAAGTTAAAATACATGTCCAAAAAACTTAATTCCTTCTTGAAATTTAAAAAAAATTATTCGAATTCACATTCAGACATTTTCCACTTTCTAAAAATCTATTGTACAATCAATTTAGTGAAATTATTTCATGTTGAAAACGATTGACCAATCACACATCAGTATTGAACCATGGTCCACCATCCAGTTGCAAAGCTCTCCCTGATTGGCTGACGAGCGAGCCAGTGTTATTCGAATACCTCACTGCATAGGGATCGGAAACATTTTCTGTTAGATCAGGAAATCTCATTGGCTGGTTGTGTCGGCTGCCTGATTCTGAGCCCGCATAGAACTGATTTGATTGGTTGGCTTGGTTGGGGTGAAGGTAGAGGCCTTGGTGCAGTGGTTGTAGAGAATTAAAATCTGAAAATATTCGTACAACATAATTTTAGAATTTGTTTCGTGACGTGACAAAATGAAATGTTTGTTGCAAAATGTAATACAACCATTTATATTCTGAGCCAGCTGTTAAATGTTGCCAATACAAAATATAAAAATTTGCTCCTTAAATTTCTAAAGTATTAATTTATTTATATAAATTTTTACAAAATCAATTTTAAATGCATAATATGAATTTCAAACATTTTGATGCCAATACTTACAGCAGAAGAATAAATTGTTAAAAAATAATTGATGTGATATCCAAATTACCTGGAGTCTTAGACGAAGGATAAATGTTGTTGCCCTGGCTGTTGTTTGGTTGGTACATTTCATCGTTTGACATCTCTTCAACCTGAGTCAGCTGTCATTCAATGAAAGGTTCAACTAAATTACGACTTGTGTTGTTACAAAAGTGCCTTAAAAAGTACATTACAACTTCATAACATTACTATTAATCAAACTTTCAACAAAACCGTTGTCACGTGTGTCGAGCCGACAGATTTTTATAAATATCCAACAATAATAACATTTATAATCTTCTATTTTTGCCCACCGTTCAAAAGTTCATTAATTATTCTCAAAGAGTATTATTAATTTATTATTATTAATTAATTAAATATTTTTAATAGATGATAAATGATCAATATAGTGATCTGGTGTCTGAAATAGAAAAAAAGTCACCTGGTTGTTCCAGGTGTTTGGATCGCCTCTGACCAGAGAGTTGGTCAGTTCAATGGACAGTCTCTTCTTGTAATCCGCCGACTTGTCTTCACTCATGCGATACAATATTGCCGCTGCATACGTCGCTGGTTGTGTGGTTGGTTATGTAGTTGGTTGGTGGGTTGGTTGTGTGGTTGGTTATGTATTTGGTTGGTTATGTATTTGGTTGGTGGGTTGGTTGTGTGGTCAGTTGTGTGGTTGGTTGTGTAGTTGTTTGGTGGGTTGGTTGTGTGGTTGGTTGTGTAAATGTTTGGTATATTGATTGGCAAGATGCTTCTGTGGCTGATTGTTCAGTCGGCTGGTCAGTCCGATGGTTAATTGACCGGTCAGTAAGTTGTTTGTTGGTTTGGGTATTTAGTTAAATATGTGACTGGTTTTGTAGTCTGTTGGAATGATAGCTAGCTAAATGAATTCAAGAGCGACTATTGTATGAACGATGATAACACCCAAGCCAAGTAAATCAAAACATTACATTAAAACTATAAAACTATCAGGAAGACTTCAAAAAACTGTAAAGTTAGTTTTGCCAGACAACGAAACCTAACAGGCAAACAATGAGACAAACTAAACGCACAAAAAGTAGAACAACATAAAAAATAATTCAATTGACGGCAACTCATTCCATCTCACCGACGGCTTCATTGTGGCTGTGCAGCAACTCGGTGAGGGGAGCCGTGGCACCTTCCTGCTCAGTCATCTCCACCGCATCCTTCTCCGCTGCCAACTCGCACAGCACTCCCGTCGTCACCCGCTGGGTGTTCTCGTGGGGGAAGTAGAGTAACTTTCGAAAAAAAATACATTCATGACATTGCAAGGTGTCAAATAAATAGACACACTAGAAATTCTCCATCAAGTCTGACACTAGAAATTATCCATCAAGTCTGAAGCCTGACAAACCTGCACAAAGAGAGGAATGCAGTTGTGTTCCTTGATGATTGTCCTGTTGTGAACGTCGCGTGCCAGAATGTGCAGAGCGCCAACACACGTCTCCACCATCTCATCCATTCTCACTGCATCCATCATTATTCCATCGGATGAGTTGCTTAGTACAGCCTTCGTTTGCATATGAAAAATCAAACGAATTAAAGTTTTCAAAATAAAAAATTAGGAATCGAAAAAGATCGAAGCTGTTTTGATTTCAGACAAACATTATTCGAGCGTAATTTTACTGACAATACTTAAAGATACTTTAATACGTATTAAAACCACAAAACATCTGACAAAATTTCAACTAACCATAAAAACTACACAAACATTATATTATATTCTGAAAAAAGTTTCGAATCCAATCGACCAACCTTCTGAACTTCCTGATGGGACCTCACAAGCAGCTGGATGATCTTCGGGACTGCTCCCAATCCCCGCAGTTCTGGATTGTTCTTCTCACAAAGTGCCAAATTCCTGACCAAGCTGACGGTTGCCTTGAGGAGAGGCCAGTGGGATGGCGGGTGGAGGAGGTTGATGATTGGCATGAGACCTCCTTCTTCTCGAATCAGGTTTTGAGATAATTCAGCATGCGCATGTCGACTGGTCAGGTGACGCAGTGCACACACCTGCAACGTTCAATGCGGGTATACGTTCAAATTCTAAATCTTCCTTCAGTTTATTTATGATTGCAACACGACATGAAAACATGACAAGAAAGGAACCTGACAGGCGACACCACATTGAATATATCTCATGACCATGTGTGTAGATTAACACTTGCAACAAACTTTCAAAAGAAAGAAGTGAACTAACGGATGGTTCGGTGATGTCCTCCCTGTCTCCAGCCTTGACGACTGTGGCCACAAGTGCCTCCACTCCAGATATTTGATACACGTACGACTTGTTGGCGTGGTTGTTGCAGGTGAGGTTGGACAGGATGCCGCAGGAGCAAATGATCATATCCAAGTCGTCCATCTGCAACATTCGCACGCATACTTCCAGAACAGGCTCCATTCCTTCCTGTTGGGACCAAATAGTAAAAAATGAGGTTAAATATTTATTTATAAGGTAAAATGTTTATTGTAGGTTCTAAGCAACAATTTAGCAACTCTTAGTTGTTCACTTTTGTTCCATTTAATTTAAAGTTTATGAATGGAGGATGGGAACTTGGTCCAGCAATTAAAATTTTAATTGAAGTTCAACCACAAAACTTTGAGTGAGGAAGGATAGTTCAAATAAACTTCAAATTAATAAAATTACAAAAAAAAAACATGACACTCTCGAGAAGATTTGTATTCAATTAAATATTTCATAAATGAAAGCAAATGTAAAAATGCCAGCCGACCAGTTTGGTGGCAGAGTCAGAGAGGTTCCGGATGGTCCACATGCAGTTGTGAACGAGTCGAGTACTCGGGTTCACGAGCAGGTTGGAGAGGACGTGTATGCCTCCTGTATCAATTCCAACATGTTAACATTATTGCATGGTCTTACTTCGCTGGTTGTGATAAATGTAAGTTGACACAAATTTTAAAAAATAAAAATGAAATGAGCTACAAAACACCCTGGGAAATTAATAAGCAAAGATTTTCGTGACTGACTGACCGGCTTCAACAATGGCCACCTTGTTGCTGGGACAGACGGAGAGAACCTTGAGAACCCTGGATGTGGTCCAGAGCAACTTCTCGTAGTTGTACCTCTCCATGATGCGCACCAGATTGTCTGGACCTCCACTCGCCAGGATGATCAACTTGTCAAAAAAGTAAGTGTACAGTACATTTATAGGTGCATATAAGTGTATATTTATAAGTGTACATAAAACAACTGCAATATAAACGGCAATGACGAACAACAAACTCACTTTGCATTCCTGATTTCCATAAGCAAGAAGTTGCAGGCAGTCAGTGGTTATAGCCAGGAACTTTGGGTCATCGTACGTCAAGAGGGCCACCATTTTTTGCAGCCCCCCTGCGGTGTGCACCGCCATCTTAGCTCCTTCCTGGTGTAGCAACAAATTGTGTAGTGTAGTCATCGCATAGAAGAGAATCGATTCAATGGGGGAACTGTTGTTGTTCGGTTTGATTCATTCAGTTTATATTTGATGAAAATTTTAAATATAAACAAACTTTTTTAATTAAATTAACCTCTAAAGTTTTTAATTAAAATTCAGAATAATTTGACTTTATATTCGAGAAAGCGCGCCAAGCACCGTCCAACACATACAAGAAGCGATGAAGCAACCAACCTAAGCAGCCTGATGAGAGCAGGTATGCCACCAGACTTGAAGATGTACAACAGTCCTTGCTGGTGGTGGGACAGGTTGTGCAGTGCCCCCGTCAAGTACCTGAAAACGTTATTCATGGCTGATAAACTTGTGGAACATTGTCAAGTTCAAATTGTCTCAAATTTGAACTGTTCAAAATAACGAGAAAATATTTAAAGTAAATTAATTGTTTTTGAGATCCAAAAACCAATAAACTACTTGAAAAACTAAAAAAGTAATGATAGGTGAAATAAAATGAATTGAAACAAAAAAAAATTGTGGACCAGATGATCGGAACAACCTAATGGTTTCTGGGTCTTTGGCTTTGTTGAGTGCATTGATAAGGGCAGCGATGATCTGTGGAGAGTTGAGAAGGGCGTGTCTGCTGGCCTCCTTCTTCGAAAGTTGGTGACTCATGAGAGCTGCGTGGCCAACTACAATCTGATCACAAAGCATGCTGGCTTGTATTATTGGTTCTCAAACTTGTCAAAATTATTTTCATTTGACTACATTCATTGACTAGCAAATGTGTACAATTAAAATAATGTGTCAGATTATGTCTACGTGGAATAAATTAAGAAAAATGCAGTAAACGCCAACCTGATCCTCATCATTCAGTAGTGATATCAACTCAGGAATCGCCCTCACCGCCACATCTGCATCCTCCTATTTAAAAAAATGTTTCAGTTCAGAAATAATTTAAAAAATTTTATGTCTATGGAGTTTTGTAATGCTGTACATGTACAACCACTTTGCGATAAATTAATCACAAAACAAAAGCATCATTATAAAAACTTGAAAAGAGTAGCTGGGAAAAAAATTGAAGTGGGCAACATTTTTTTGATGCATATCCATTAGCTAAATAACTTCTTAAATGTAAATTTAAAAGCCCAAATCTCGAAACCAAGTGAAAAATTGAAAGGAATGAAGAAAGGTACCTGATAGTTGATGAGATTGACGACAGCATGCTTCAGCATCCGTGATGGTTCAGCCAGTCTCTGCACAGTCGTCATCTGGCCAAAGTGTTTCTGCGTTGAAGGAATTTGAATTTCCTCGTCGTTAAATGTCTCGGGGAACATGGCCGCACGGACCCTCTGTGAGCGAGTCTGCGTCAGTTGCTGGTTCATGTCTGTCATCATAGTAATCACAACAACCATGGTGATGATGACGACAACAACGATGATGATCATGATGATAAAAAAAAACTTAATTTATAATCATTTACCAGACAACAAGCAGTGATTAATATTTTATGTGAACTAATTTAAAATGTCTTAATGTCTTATAGATATAACTATTTACATAAAATTAATTACTAATTTTAAAACATATCCATAAAATTTGGTATCATAAATGGGATATATTAAACAATTAAAAATTTAATTTAAATAACTCTTTAAACTTGTTTAAAATTATTTTATAGAGGTATGAACAACAAACACAAAGTGTATACAACATACACATAAATCAATGCATCATCAGCAGGTATGCTTCTTTTTGCATTCATTTTTTTCTCTGTTATTTATTTTTCATTATTTTATACTATTGCCTTGCATGCTGTAACAGTTTCTGCATTTATCAGATTCTGAATTTTTAAAGAATAATACAAAAAATAATACAGAAAATTTATTCACTGTTGGAGCAACTACATAACAAGACAGATAAACTGTTACATAACAAAACAAATAATATTTTTTTTTTATTTCTGCAATACTCCCTCAAAAAAATTCTTTAAAAAGCTGACCATTAATTTGTTCCTGCATGTAAACTGCATCATAGTCCATTGAATAAGGAGCTGTGTGACTTGGGTAGCTTTCCATTGCCAACAACACTAGCAGCTTCTGTTACTATAGAAGTATAGATGAATAAATGTCTTTATTTATATAGATAAAATAAAAGTAATTAAATAAAGTTAATTTATTTAATAAACCTATGCTTATTTAGCAACCACGTCATTAACTAGTTTTATTTTATTCGTATTTCTTTTTTTTATTATTCAAGAAATATGGATTTTTAGTTTAATAATAATTGAAATACTATTAGCTTAGTTTAGTTTAGCTTTAGTTAGTTTTTAGGTTATTAATTAACAATAATAATATTTTATTTATTAATCATAGGAGAGAAAGTGAAAATTTTTAAATAAAATATAAATAAAATTATTATAAAATATTAAAATAAAATCTTTTAATTCTTTGAAATCAATTATAATTATAACATTTTTTTTTATTTTATATATATATAATTATATATATATATATATATATATATATATATAATAAATATATAACAATTTATATTATATTTAAAAAAGTTATTCATTTTTTATTTTATTATTAAAAATTCAATTAATTCAAGCAGAGCAGTTTTGCTTCCCATTCAGATCTCAGATTCAATATTGAATATTCAATCAATTTCAGTTGATACTGGTAACTGAAAGGTTGAAGCCAGGATGAAACCTATTTCGATTTCTAAACTAAAATAAAAGGCAAATTAATAACATTCACCTCTAAATTCGATATTGAGTAGTAAATAGTAAAAAAAAAATGAAAGTCACTTTCGTAAAAAAAACGAATTTAATTAACGAAAAAGAGAAGCCAGGAACCGTATTTATTTATTTATTTATAATTAATCACCTTTGTCAGGTGAAGCTAAAAGATTAAAGTAAATTTTAAATTTGGAAATAAATTTTAACAATTTTTCAATAAATTACATTAATTGTTGTTTGTCAGTAAACGAAAAAATAACTGAGTAATAAATAGAAATAATTCAAATAAAATAGAAATGCATAAAGATTTGCACATTATAATAAACATGTGTGTATATAATTATATATATATGTGTATATAAATATATATTTATATATGTATCTAAATCACCTATAATGAATCTTGAAACATCTACATACACATATATGTTTGTTAGTGGGATATACATTTATAGACGTTACATAATCATAATGTCAACGATTAGTTCAACATTTATCATCGAATTTCAACATTTACATGCAAAATTACCATATTATGTTGATATATTCACCAGTGTTGATTATACAGATTTCAGTGAAACCTCATACAGAAGGACATTTCTTAAAACTAAAGCGGGAAATCGTTTAAAAAGATGTCATTGTTTTTGTTCTCTCAGTCTCTATTATACACTGTGAGTTTATAAACAATTTACATTGTCATTGCGTTAGATTTCCAATGATCAATTAATATGTAAAAAATAATGTTTCTTGGAAAGTTTTTCAAAAATAAATGCCTGGTAATCATTTTTCTATCTTAATTATGGTATGAGATCATGAGATGCATACTTCTGTATAACTCGTTATGATTCGTTCAACGTTGTACACAGTATATTTTTTACGGAACCTCGTTCTGTCATTTGAATCGGTTTTTTCTGAAATACCGGGCTGGGTTGAGAAGCTCATTTCACGGAAATTGAATTCTGACAAAGTCTCGACTGATTATAAATAAATTAATTATAAATTATCATATGTTATCTATAAAAAAAACTCAATTAGATTCCATTTATTAATTTGTAATACTCGTTTGACAACTATACTGATGCATCGGATCTAGATCATATACATGTATCATTAAATAAAGATTTAATAATAATAATGAAATATATCGATCGTTGAAGCGTTCGTTCAAATATGACTAAAATAAACACTAAACACAAATATCTACTGCTCTTTTGAAATTTACAAACAAATTTGTAAACGTGAATCCTATAATGTATTTGCAACAGAGGCGAAGTTGAAAATCTGCCGCTTCTGGGCTATCAACATAATGCCGCACCCATCTTTACAGTGGGCATCGCTGTAGGCCTCGAGCCTCGTGCCCCTTTCAGTCCAACCAATCATGCTTCAAGAAATACTTAAAGCGGTGAAACTTTGTAGTCTATTTCCCGTCTTTTATCTCGTGTCCAATGATGAACAAACAATTGCAGTTTAATATAAGTAATAATATTGCTACCGCTCTAAAAGGTCATTGGGAAATAAAAATTAATGATAGACTTCATATAGGCCTACTCTAAAAAATACATAATACGCAACTTTTAACAAACAAAGAGTTACAGTTCACTGAAAATAAATATAAATGATGTCTTTAAATTGTTATTTTCTATCCAGTAAAACCTAAAAATATATGCAATAAAACAACAATAAAAAATGAAATATCAATCTGAAATTAAAAGGCACAGTTCAACAATTTGTTTGCTATAATATCAAAAAGGAAACAAACTGTTATCACACAGTATTCACATTCCACCATTACATTCATAAGCGTTTCCTACGTCCCTGTGTATCAGCAAATGAATTTATAAAGACCCAACCCCCTCCAGGCTAAGTCTATGTTCCTAATAATTATATAGTTTTGTTCTGTTTTTAACATTTGTTTCAGTTTTTTTATCGGTTTCCAAAATTTGCCGCCACCTTAAACCTGCCACCCTGGGCTATAGCCCATTTAGCCCATACGTAAATCCAGGCCTGGTTTGCAAATTATTACTATTATTATTTTTTAGAAATGATTTACATAAGGTATATATTGATTTGATAATTTTTTATTTATTCTTTTTTCAGAACAATTCCAACTTACCTCTATGTTCCTCTGTTAATTTAGATATGGAGAGCATAGAACTAAAGGAAAGAAAACTGTCTTCGTGTAGTAAGTATGATAAAAATAGTTGTAGTCAATCTGTGGCAAAAAATGAGGATTGCTCAATCAGCGGCAACAATGAGCGATTGTTGACGAAGGAATTGACGGATAATGAAAGAGAAATTCAACTGCTTATCCAAAAGTATTTGCAGTATAGAGAACAACTTATAATCAAATCAAATTTGAAAACAACTTTGAGACCATTAAGTGATAACGCAGTAAAACTGAAAAATGAACTTGAGAAAAGAAATAACTCAAAAACGGTTGAAAGTAATATTGAGATGCAAACAAGCAATGAGATCAACACGCTGAGGAGAGCTATGCAAAAGTTGCGACGATGGAAAAACGGCTCACAACAATTTACGTATAGAAATATGAAAAAGTTACGTGAATTCTTATTCATAGCTAAAAACAAGTTCATTCTGACGTCTTTGCAAATATTGTACCAAGAAAAGTCTTATTTCTCTCTGCAAACGTCATCCAAAAAGCAAAATGTTGAGTCCGTCGAAGATGAGATTGTCAGCGAAGATTTGTGGACAATTTTGCAGTCAAAGATTAAAAAGAACATTGAAAATGGAGTCCCCTTGTTCAAAATTGAAAATATTTTCCAAGATATCGAAACGCTGTGGAGCAACCTACAGCAGCTGTGAGTTCTGGTAATTATCTTCATTTTTATCCTCTCACAAATGTTCCATAAAAAAATATTAATTTCCATTCCGAAATCGTGTTACATTTTCCGAAAAAGATAATTGTAATAGGGTTACTTGTCTATGTTATATATACAGAATACATGTTGTTCTATTGTTATATTTCAAAAATTTCGTTTTTAAATTTTATTTAATAAAAATTTAATAAGCGCCTGGTCCTGCGTTAATGACTGCGTTTGAGTTCAGAGAGTGATTAATGTGAATAATGAATAATGTGAATAATGTGTAACTGAAAAATGTGTAAATAAAACTGAATAATGTGTTGATTAAAACTTATTCACGTAAACTGTGGTAAATACAATCTTTATTTTCTTGCTTTAACATATAATAGAACTCATATAATTTTTTGGTTATTAACGTTTCATTGCTCGTTCAAACGTTTATTTTTATTTTGAAGGAAATCTGGAATAAAATTGAATAACGAAGCGTTGAAAAGTAACTTGAAAAAACCAAATTCTGATCAATTGGATTCAAAGTTGAATGAAGATAGTTGTGAACATCAATTGATGATCAACGACCTCTTAAGAACAGTTACAAGAATTAAAAAAATGATTGATGCTTTCAAAATCGGTTACTTTCATTTAAGATATCATTTTTTAATGTCATTATTATGAGATGAGTTCTTGTAAGGTTAGAAATTAAATAACTTCAATCTCTAATTTTCCTGTGGACAAAAAGTTAAATATGAAGAAAGGATAAAATAAAAATAAGTTAGAAAAATTAATTTTCTATAAGCATGTAAATATTAAAAAAAATAGTTTCATCGAAATTCGTAAATGCAATGAATTAGAATCACCGCAGAAGATAATGCGCTTGCTTTAAAATGATTGATATTTCGAAAATGAATTATGTAGAAATTTTAAATAAAACTTTTCATGAGTTTGTAATAAGTGTTATTTTGTTTGACTTATTGTTATATCGACATATTTAATGTATTTTCTTACATCTATAAAAATTTTTTGTAGCATATCATATGAATTTGTGAAATGCGTTCAATTTTTATTTTCTTTATTAATGATAATAGAATTTCTTAAGGGAAAATGTTCTGTAATGCCAACAGGTTATCATATCAGTGAAGTACCGTCAATTTCCAGCAAATTTAAAAATTCTGATCAGTCTTGGAAGAACATTCACGCTTTAAAAAGTAAATCCAAAAAGTTTGTTCGATTTAAATCCGATGAAATAGAGGACAGTTCGAATCAAAAATCTTCATCGGTTCACAGTTTGTTCAACGATTCCACAATATGCTCCGAAAATGATGTGACCGTTCTTTCTTGCCACATTGCAAAACTAAAAAAATGGCTCCTTGGTGTTGAAGATTTCGATGCCATAGATTTTGAAAAAATTATAAAATCAGTTGAATTAATGGAGCTACATTTGAGTGATGATGTGAATTTAAATAAAAGTTCATTTTTCTTATCAAACTCTGAAATTTTGATTATGAATAAAGAATTAGATTCTGACTTCAGTGACGATGATGACAACGACGATGAAAACAATCACCACGATAGAGAATTAGAAATAAGGGAAAACAAACAAAAGCAGTCGATTGACATTTCGAGCGCGAGAATTCGATCCAACTGTTCCCTGTCGCTATCCGGCTGCAACCCCGGTCATTTGAAAATGAAAATAATGAAGTCACACAAAAACAAACAAACTGAAAGCGCTAAGGTGTGCGAAGATAAAATCCAATCTGACTGCGAAGACGTTGAAGAGTTGCTTGATGAAAGGCTCATTTGAATGTAAACCTGCCTGTTCAATAACTTTTATTACATGTGATAAACACTAATTATTTAAATATAAAAAAAATTATTTTAGTAATTTTTAATACACATTTTAATTTTGTATGAACTTTTATTATTACTTTTTTCATTAAAAATTTTTAAGCGGTTAATAAAACAATCTTATATCTTTTATAGTCCGTGTTGCAGTATCCTCGAATGCACGATGACTGAAAATGTAAAAGTAAAATATAATTCAAAATACGTGTGCATGTATCTATAGTCACATTCACATTATTTAAAATTATAGAATAAATTGCTCTAAGCTGAGAATTCTTTCCATGTTTCATCCATTGCAGCCATCTCTCATTCATTAAGCCGTTTGATGGCGGAAAAAACTTTTATTTTGCTGGTACCTAATTTTAAAACAAAAATTTCACCTGTTGATAAAATTTTATTTCAAGTTGTTTGTCGACTGTCAATTTTGGTTTACAATATTTTTAAAAAGTTTATAGAAACACGATCTTAGCAAGTAACTAACTATTGAATAGGAAACACAATTCTGTCATTTTTCGTTGACCTCTTTTTCTTTCCTACTGGCTGAGTTTAACGCTGTGCTCAAGAGAAAATTATTTGCAAACGTAATTGAAGGATTCTATTTTGCTATGTTATTTGATTTTTGTTCTTGGTTGGAATCTGTGGCACACCGAAGGACAAGTGGTCCTCTAGTTTGACCCTTCTATTTAAGATGCAAAATAGATGTAAAACCGTTTTTAAGAAACTATTGCGTAGAATGTGGATTTGTAGAGCGCTTCCATTCCCTTGCATATAGGCGCAACTATGTACGTATAATTAATGACCAAATGTCTGATGACTTCTGCTAATTACAGATTTGGTAACAAAAATGTTTATCCACATTTAACGTAAAAAAAGAAAAAGCCTCCAAACAAACACCAAATTAAAGGTGGTTCCAATAAATTGTAATGTCATCAAAATTACAAATTATAAAATTACAAAATTATTATTTTAAGGTTATTATCTATGTTTAAGCTCATGATTCCACAACAATGTTGGTTTTCGTAGAACTTTCTAAAATTCAAAATTGTATACTTTTGAAGTTGCTCATAAGAAACAAATTACTCTCTGTATTTCATATATATGCATTTCGCGTATGCCTATTCAAGCCATTATATAAATTTTTCAAAACTTAGAAAAAACCAAAACTCCAGTTTATTGAGCAAATTGTTTAATGTCGCCTTATTGAAAAGCAAATGATCATCCAAGAAATAAAGACCTCTAGAAGCTAGGAAAGGTATGTCATCCTCGGTATTATTATATATTTTCCACTTTATATCTTAATTCAAACTAAGATACAAAGTAAAAACAGAAAACTCTAAAAAAGGCATGCCCTTCAACAAAATGTTAATATAGAAAGTAAAGAGAACGGTCATTATTTCCTGCAAAATATAATGTCAATGTATGGATAACATACCTTTAGGATTAACTTTCAGTATAGTATAATATTCATTTTCTGCAAAGACATTATTATAAATATTTTTCTTTTTATGTTTGCTTAATTTGTTTGTCCTGCTTTATCCTGCTATAGCTATGTTAATAGTAGTAAAGCATCGCATGGTATCAGTTTCAACAGGCATGTCTACATCTAATTTTATATCTTCCAGGCTTTCCGTTTGTTTGAAGGAACGGATTTCAGTGTCCTGGAGATACAAAATAAAATATAATTATCGTAGATAACACCAGGGTGGTCATTCCTTCATGGTCTTCAGTGACTTAAAACTTTTTCAGTCAGAGCTTCGGAAAATTATTTATCCTTATTTCATTCATCAGGAGAACGTATGTGAATATTTTACATTGAATGTTTTAATAATAATAATATTATTATTATTATTGTTGTTGTTATTATTAATAATATTATTAACAGGACATTATCGCTTTACTGTTTAGTTTTACTAGCTCACCGAAAATGTAAACAAGTTTACGGGTGTAATATTAAAGTACAAACACATGCATATATAATATATACATATATTATATTTATATATATATGTATTTTATATATACATTTTTATATCAGGTTCTTCCGTGTGCTAACAAGTATGATTTTATTTTTTTCCCTTAAGCCGCTAAGCTTATTAAATAAATAAATATTAAATTATAGTTTTTAAATTAATTTAATTATCTTAAAAAATATATTTATTTTATATTATATTTTAATAAATATAATATAAAAAATTTGTAGTTTTATTGGAAATGTCTCATCAAGCAGGAATCAAAGGTTTGTTTTTGTTAGTTTGTTTGTTACTATTACATTACTTACTATTACTAGTTTTACTTGTTTATGTTCACAAAAGTTTTTTTTAATTTAACAATTAATTAAATTAAATAACATGACATGAATAGCGTTTAACATACTATTCATTACTGATTACTGTTATAATTAATTAATTATTTCACAGCTATCATTACAACTTTTACAACATAACATAAATATAAATTAAAAATAAAACATCATTTTTAAAATTAAATTATATTTAAAAGTTAAAACTCAACACATGATAACTAACCTAACAGTTATTTATGCTTATGATCAGTTAATATTGTTGATATGTGTTTTTGTTCATGTTTAAAAAAAGGAAACAATTTAAATAATAAATATACCATTCATATGTCAATTATGATAATCAGATAATGATAGTATATTTATTATTATATGATATGTTATATAATTAAAAATATGTTTTATATATAATATTATATATATATGTATATGTTAGAAGGAGACCATCTTTTATTTTTATACAGTATTATAAATATTATATGAATTCTACTGAATTGTTGGCATTAGCTCATTAATCAGTTTAAAGTTATATATGTGTGTATGTGTGTGTATGTGTATATAAACATGTTATTTGAATTTTGATAGAATCCTTTATAATATTATTGTTAGTTTTTTTAGTTCACAAATTTGAATTTGTTTTTTCATTGTCCACCATTGTGGGCATCAGTTTATCAAGTATAAAATAAATATATAACAATACATTTTATATGCTATAATATATTATATAATGTTTAAGTTCATGTGACATCATCCAAAAAACTTCATGATATTATTCAAAAATTGACAGCTTGTGATGATTTAAAGTCTTTCTTTGCCTGCTCAAAGGATGGCAATGTCAGGCTAATCCAGATAGCTATCCAGGAAGGTTTGTTTTTGTTGCTAACATTATTTTATTTCCTTTTTCAATAATTTTCTTCCATCAAATTGTAGTAAATACAAGTAAATAAAAGAGGTTTTGATTACTTAAATGGTAGATTTGCTTAGTTATATGGTTTTACCATATTTATATTTGTTTGTTACACAAATTTCTTGTCATGGTGTTATTTGTGTTTGGTTATTGCTAGTTTAAAAAGACTGATTAAATCTGATAAGCTCAGTAATTCATTTTATAAATAATAGTCACCATTATTTGCATATGTTTGAAAAGAATGTAACAATACTTGTAGTTGTTCCCTGTTAGCAGGTTAACATATTACAATACTGGCAACACTTATACACACAATCTTATTAACACACTACTGTGGATTCATCTGCAGAGCAGTTGGTGCTTGAGTCCAGTTTTGAGCCAAAAGGAACCTGGCAGGATGATATCCTTTTATTGATCTGTGTTATTCAGAAATTATTGCCATCAATTTATTTTTGTATTAGTTGCAATGGTTTTTTCAATAAATTTAGTAAATTGAATTAAGCGTTACTAATTTGTTTTGCTTTATTGAAATGACGATTTTTGAGTTAGGCAGGTGTAAATAAGAACAATAATGAGAACGCATTTTTAACCTTGACTTTCCATACATTGGGATTCTCTGGTCCTGCCTCTGTTAAAGAAGGACCACCCAACGTACATCATGTTTCGCTTGGATGAGCAAACATCATCAGGGTACCAATGGATCTTCATCAGTTACTCACCTGATCATTCTCCTGTAAATTATTTGTGTGTGTGTGCGCGCGCGCGTGCATGTGTATGTGTTTCTGTGTGTGTTTATGTACTTGCTATGTATATTTGAATGATGATGCTTTTAAAGATAAAATATTTTTTCCATTTTATTGGTTTTTAGGCAAATTATAGCTGTGTTAATTTGTTAATGTAGGGTAGGAATTATTTAGTGTTGAATGAGTTTTTCAAAGTTTTCAACTTTTAAAAACATCTGCACTATTTATTAGTGCAGATGTTTTTCTGCAAACATCTCGCTAACTTGTCAATTTATTTTAAGAACTAGGCTCACTATAAAAATCTTGTTCATTTGTGTTCGTTTGCAGTAATTTTCAGCAAAATAGATTCAAAGTTCTACTTCCATACACACGCACACAGGTTCGACAGAAGATGTTATATGCTGCTACAAAGGCAACTCTGAGGAATGAATTTGGATCATCACAAATCAAAGATGAACTTTTTGGAACTGTGCCTGTATGTTCTTTAAGTGGTTCAATCTTTTTGATATATTTCAATCGATATAAGCCCATTCAAAGCCAGTGTCCTATCTTGTTGCTGAGACAAGGAGTTTAATCTTATGATCTTAAGCCATTTTTACGTTTGTTAAATTTAATATAAAACTACGATATGATATAATATTATATATGAAGTGATATCATATGATACGATATATGATATGATGTTCACTTTCAATCTGATCAGCATGATGTGAACCTGGCTGGTTACAAGAAGCACGTCATATCTGAACATGCCCCCAAACCACTGACCTTTGCTGAGGAAGAGTTGGAGTTGATCAAGAAGAATGAGGTTGAATATACTGAATATTTTTCTTATTTTGTTGTTGTTCAACTTGCAACAAATCATTGCAAAATTCTATATAGAAAAGCGATTTATTTATTTTTTTGTTTATCAATTTATTTTTTTATTTATTTATTCAAGTTTTAATTTTTAATATTCAAAATTTTAATTTTAAATTTTTAATTTCAATTTGGAAGGTTTTCATGTTCGAAAACTTTGTAAGGGATGATTCTGTTTTGTGACAGATCTTTTTTGTATTGTCATTCACAGTGTTTCATTTATTCCTTCACTTGTGTCATTTTGATTCTTTTAAATTGTAAATGTGATAATTGACTGAAATAAATAAAACTTCAGTTTGCCAAAGTATCTGCTAACAACTCGCACAGGTGAATGCTGACATAAGTGTCGACTCGAAGCATCAGACTGTCCAAGGTGTTGCCTTCCCATTATCCAATGATGCCATCAAACAGTTGAACAGGCTCAAGAACCATGAGATTAATTATGTTCAGCTGGTAAGTCATCTCCATTCTTCTCTCTTTTTTTCATGGCTTTGAGTTCTTAAACTCAAGCAGACGAGTTTTCATTCTTTCATGTATTTTCATCATCATTTTTTGATGAATAAAATTTCTTTTGTGTCAATATTCTTTGAAACTTTGAAAACAAATACTTTTAAATTTCGTAAAACCTGTTTTTGAATTTGGGTTCGATAAATTATCAGTTGCATATAATTAATTTTTTCAGTTCAGTTGTGAACTAACCAGATTGTTTACTAACTTGTAATATAATTGTTCTCGTTTTAGAAAATTTTAACTTCATCATGCAGTTTCATAGTGAGTCATTGTTATTTTTTTAACTCATGAAAGAGTTTAGACCTAGATAAAGAGATTATCAATGTGGAGAAATCAGACAATGTTGACGTGGCTCAGATAGTCAGGTTGACGCCATCCGACCATGCCAGATACCACTTGTACCTCTTCAAGCATACGCATGAAGGAGACCAACAAATCGCCTGTGGTGTGTTCTCTTTTATTTATTTCATGTTTCATATGTTCATGCGCTTATATATTTGTTCCTAAATGTATTATAATTTCATATATAAATTCGTTTACATATTTATGTTTTACTTGTTCAGTTTCAATTTATCAGGTCTGTTTTTGCTTATAAAAAGTAGCACCGCCACCACTACTTACGTTGAACAAGCAGCACCAAAAATCTCTAACGCAAATGAAAATTCCAGATATTCTATATATACAAATGAAATTTCATTCAAGACGTTACAAAAAAGTTTTGAGTTGAACTGAACTGAAAATTATAAAATGGTTGTTCTTATAAACATTGTAATTTTCTATAAGGTCTGAATAAGCAAACCTTTTACATTTTTTAATATTTATTACTGTTAGTGTTTGACTATGTCATTGTTATGTAGTTACACTAAAATGTCTGTCCGTATGTTATAAACGTAGGGGAGGTGTTTGAACGGAAAATAACGAAATAGATAACACCTTAATCAGCACCAAACTAATACGACGAACGAATGTCGACATTTAGTTTTACGGCACGAAAATCGTTAATTGTTTTTTCTTACGCGAGTTCAGTGGCAAAAATTATTCTCAATTCAAGAGTAGCGAATGGCGATTTCATTTGGATTTCAAGCTTAGCGCCGTTTTGTCATAGTTGCTACTGTCTTTAAAAAAAGAACGACACTCGATAGCGTCGATACCGCTACTTTGCTTTTAACGACCTTGAATGGCCTTGTTTTAAGATTTATTTTGATTGGAACTTTAAAGTTTATATAATCGTCTATTGAATTATCAAAACACTGATGAACAACTAAGCGTTCATTGCTTATTTGAATATATTTGCTACTTAACAACAAGCGGAAATACGTTTTCATAGTTTTCCTGTACACGATGCCTGGTTACAACTGCTCCATCAAGGAGAGGATGTTGTACTCAACATGTCAAAGACCATTGGTCGATCGTATAGAACGTGATCTTTCCATAGAGATACATCGCAAAGTTAGTTTTTTTTGTACAAGGTATTTTTAATTTTTTATTCATTCAGTTTTCAATTTATGGATTATTTATTAATTCAATTCGTAATTCATCCAACTCTTAATTAAATCTGTTTTTAATTAATTTAATTTTTAATTAATTCAATTTTTAAATTTGAGTCACTCGATTTTTCTTACTACCGTTTTAAGACCGTCTAATTAACAATCTAGTCTTAAATCATTATTGGCTCATACATTTTTCGATTAGGTATGTACGTCCTTAATTGATCAATTTCACTACGAAGACATTTAATTATTTTTTCCAGTTGGAAGTCGACGACGCAAAAGAGATAACAGCAGACTTTTTGCACAATGAAGTTCATCCGCCTAAGAACATTGTGAAGAAGCAGTTTGAAAAACCGAAGGGTCCTGCTGGCCGAGGTCCAAAAAGGATCACCAAAAATGCTGAGAATGAATAATTTCATCCATCCGAAGTTTTAGTCCTAGTTTATTTTTTTATACATTTTTTTAATTTTAATTTGCTCATTTATTTTAGGTCATAATTTGTTGCATCTAAAATGGGAAGCATTTCAATAATAGAAATTCGAAATGTGCTAAAATATTTACTTTAGGTTAAATAAGTCGTTTTCCGTTTGTGGTGTGTGTGTATGTATGTGTGTGTGTGTGTGTGTGTGTGTGTGTGTGTGTGTGTGTGTGTGTGTGTGTGTGTGTGTGTGTGTGTGTGTGTGTGTGTGTGTGTGTGTGTGTGTGTGTGTGTTATGTTTTTGATGAGTAAACGATGAGTGATTGCTACATAGGCTCAACATATTTTTTTTAATTATGACTTTTAGAATAAATTTGGCTAGATCATTTTCTTATGAGCAGAACAGTTTATTAAATACACGTTCATTCCACCACGCTATGGAAATTTTAGATCAGCTCGGAATTTATTTTTCTTATTAGAGTGTAGCTGTAACAGATTAACAGACTCAATTGTCTTTTTGCTTAAATAATTGAATATGCAAAAATTAAAATCCTGTTTACATGTTTTCACAGTTGAACTATAAATTTAAATTATTTCTATATATTATTCCTTTTAATGTGTTTATACAAATATATTATAACAATTTAATTCGCTGTCCCAATAAAATTTTTACGTGTAGTCCGCTAATCTGGATAAGTTTTTGGTTTTTGTGGTTTTATGAAATATTTCGAGGTGTGCAATATTCTCTGAGTTTCAATGACTAGGCCCAAGCGAATATTGAAATTTTCATCTCAACAACCAGATTTAACATTTAACTTATATACCATTTATTTTCTAAAAGTATTGACCATAATTTATTCTCCAATTGATAAGTCTTATACGATTTATTTTCAAAATATGATCCGAGTTAAGCTGATATCGGCAGGACTTATGCTAAATGTACTTTTTCGTTTTTGGAAAAATAAAAAACACTTTTTTAGCTGTTATCATATCTGATATATTTCTGCAATGGTGAAAATGTTTATAAAGGACAAATTTTCAAAAAATTGAATTAGACTCGGTATGCTCGTTCAAAGTTATGAAATTAAATTTTGACGAATCGTTTGACAAACAATGTTTTAGGCTATGCGAAATTTAAACAAAAACAGAAAATTAACAAACTTAAAAAAACTTGAAAAACGTGTTTATACAAAAGTATTTTTAAATTTATAAGCATTTTAAGTTTAATCATATTAACAAAAATAATCCAATTTAATCAATATAAAGAAGAATTTTAGGAAGGTATCTTTTTTTCTTTCTCATGCCTTATACTTTCGGGACATTGGCGATCATCGACCTCCTCAAAACACGATCTTTAACACTTTGTAGTAGTTGAAATGTGGTGATATTCAACAAGTGACACAAGGACTTCATGAATGTGATTTGTTGTTGACGCGATTTCTTTTCCCTGCAATATTTCCAGTAGTTGTTAGATTTTCTATTCTTTCCTTCCGCATGATGTGACCTTAACTGCCTTCGTCGGATTATCCGTGGTAATTTTCTCTTTTAATAATGTCTCAAAAACCATATTTCAGCAGCGTTAATCTTTTTTTCTATTTCTTTAAAAATTGTCCAGGACCCAGAGCCGTAAGTTAGCACAGAAAAAATATAACACCCTAACAGTTTTAATATTGTTGATATTCTGATTTTACTGTTGGTGAGGATGTTTTTCAATTTAGAGATAATTGAAGCTGTTGACTTGTTTCACCTGTTTACCATTAATGATTATGGAACAGATCTTTAATCAATCAATCAATTAATCAATCAATTAGCTTGTAAAGTGCTATTTCCGTGATGTTCAACAGCGCTCCTCAATGAATTTTGAAAACAGATGGGTCTTGAAATCCGCTCTGAACTTCGTAAGTGATGAAGAAGTAGTCAGAGAAGTAGGTAGAGAGTTCTAGAGAGAAGGGTCAGAAAAAGCAAAAGCAGATTTGGCAAAAGAGTGTTTAACACGAGTTAAGAAGAAGCGAGAACAAGAAGACGATCGTAAACCGGGGCGTTTAGGTTCAATTAATATATCTGATAAATACTTAGGAAATAATTTAGATTGAGATTTATACATAAACTTGCAAATTTAAAAAATTATTCTTTATTTTATAGGTAGCCACTGCAAGAGAACAAGATATGGAAATATATGAGAAAAGAAAGAGGCACGAGCAACTAGACGAGCAGCAAAGTTAAAAGCTTTACTTAAAGGATAGAGTATAGAATCAGGAAGACCAAGGTAGAGCGAGTTACAATAATCAATCTTAGATAAGACTAACGAAGTAACAAAAAAGAAAAGAGTAGGATCATCAAGAAAAGGCAAAAGTTTTTTTATTCTACGTAGATGAAAGTAAGAGCTTCTAGCGACACTATTAATCTGAGAAGAAAGAAACAGTAAAATCTTCTATCTTTCTCATAATGATCTCACTATAGAGATTGTACAGGTCTGGAGAGAATACAAAGCTTTGCTCAACACCTTTTTTTTCGACAAAACTAGTCATCTTGTGACCAACTTTCATCGCTGCTCTTTGTTCCCAATAAAAGTTTTTGATAACTTACGTGTCTTTTCCATCAATGTCCAAATTTTCAAATATTTCCATAAGCTCCACGTGTTTCACGATATCAAAAGCTTTGAAGATATCCACAAAACATATAAATAAGTCTTCTTCATTTCAATCGCTCGTTCACTGATCATTTGTAGCATAAAAAATAGCGTTTCTTGTGCCACAATCCTCGACAAAACCACATTGGACATTTGATATTTCAGATCTGATTTTGCTTCGTGCTCTCATCATCAGAATTTTCAAGAAAAGTTTTGTAAGATAAAAGGAGCGTCAAGCTGATTGTTCGATGTAGTTCACATTCCGTTGCATTAGGTTTTTTAGGCAATGCAATAAATATTTACTTGGATAGATCTTCAGGAATTTCGCCGCTGTTATAAATCTTATCATTCAAAATTTCTGTCATTTTTTCAATGCCAAATTCATCAAGACATTTAGTTTCTTCAGAAACTATCTGACATGGACCTGGCGCTTTTTTTTATTTTAATTGGGAAAGAGCGGCACGAAGATCTAAAAATTTTTGGTCTTTCCACGGCTTTTCACCACGGATATTATCAAAAAATTCGTTAATGTATTCAGTCCATTTTTCAAGTACTTTTTCTTTTTCTAAGATTACTTCACCGGATTTAGCTTTTATGCATCCAGAAATGGTACAAGCTTTTTCTTCAGTGATTTTTTATGCTGTGTTTATACATTGCAATTTTATTACTTGTAATTGATCTTTTCAATGATTTCGCACTTGTCATTTAACCATTTCTCCTTTTCCTCTAAGCACATTTTTTTTATTGTTTTGTCCAGCTTTTTGTAACTATCAGGATTGCAACCTTTTACTTTCCTTTGTTCATCCATCAGAAATAAATGTCATCTGTTTTCCATTTATGACTTCTTCTTTGCTCTTGCACAGGTATAACCTTTTGCTGATTCTGTGAGGGCATCTCTAAATATTTCTCGTTTAGATTTATTTACGTCTTTCTTCGATAACTGAAAACGATTCCGTACTTCAACATCATACATGACCTTGATCTCATCATTTTGTGACAGACTTACAAAATTCAAACGTTTTTGGACCACTTCACTCTTGATTTTCTTTAACTTTATTCTGATTTTACAAACAGCTGGGTTATGATCACGGCCACAATCAGCTCCAGGGTAACTTTTGCATTTTAAAACAGCATTTCGATCGTCTATTTATTGTAATGTGATCAATCATATTTCTTACCTTGTCTCCGGGACTCTTACAAATATATTTTTTCATTGGGTAACTGTCAAACCAGTTGTTGGTAATAATTTGATCACTTATGACACACCATTCAATCAACTTTTCACCTCTTTAAGTATCGAACCGGGCATATAAACGCTTAATTTAATTCAAACGTTTTCCTCACTGAAACTTTATATTTAATTTAAAAAGTTACTCACTTTTTGAGTACTGAAGTCAATGCATTCTGTATAATTCTTAATTATTTTAAATATATATCGTAATCGACTTAATGATTAAAAGAGATAATGTGGAAACTAGTATAATCATCACTAAAGACTTCAGTGTCCTTCCTGCCAAATGAAGATTATCGGCGGTTTCAAACAATCTATTCATGTTCCTATAATCAGGACCGTGAAGCTGATCATGACCACTCCCTTCATTTTCAATTTTTGGACATTTTCATTCAGTTTATTCTAAGTATGTAGGCTATATAATGTTTTCATCTAGGTTTGTATACTACATTGCATTCATCCAACAGTCCAAATTTTTAGTTTCTCTTACTTTTGAGCGCAACATTAATCAATCTGCTGTTAAGCATTCGACAAATATATTCAGAAAGTTTCTTTTTTACTCGATCCTTTTTAATAACTTTTCAATTATCCAAACGACTTTTATGGGCATATGGCTTTGTTTCTCACCTTCAGTCTCCAAACTGATTCTCATTTTCTCTAGTAGTCCCATGCAAAAACTTATCAAACTTTTTCAATTTGTGTGTGAGTTTCTTTTTTATTGTTCAAATTTCTGATGCATTCAGTTAACAGTATGATATTCTCGCAGCCTACTTTTTTAAAAATCTGTTTCGGTGGACGTATTTAAAGTTGTCCAAATTTTGTAATATATCTTGATGAGACAAATTTTGTAATATTACCTACTTTCAAACTTTTATAAATTACCATATTAATGATTGTATGATGTACAGCATAAGTTGTTGCACAATTTTTCACAAGCTATTAAAAATATCTCGTTGCATTTAGAATCTTTGAAAATTTTTTTTAATTACTTTTAATTTTGTGATTAATTTTGCTTCATCTTCGTTGTATTTAAATAAATTTAATTCAAAACTTTGATTTCATTTTGTTGTCACTGTCAAATAATGAGCTTCTTCTTGTACGTAAATTTTTTTTTTCCTTTCATAAATGAGCTGAATTACTTTTAATAGTAAATGAGTGTACCTAAATTTTTTTTGTACAGCTTCTTCAGCAGCAGGATATTTATAATTTATGTATTTTTTATTTTCCATGTTTTTTCAATAATTTTTCAATAAAATTTTATTTATTGATTTTAAACTTTAAACTAATAATAACAACGGTTCTTTTATATATTTAAATTTGAATATTGAATTATTAATTACATTTATAACTTCATGTTATTTATTTGTTAGTGAATTTAATAATAAAAATATTAAATTAGTTTTTGTTTTGTTCTTGCTGGTTTTTTCATTATTGATTATTCATGTACTATAATTATATTATACAATTATTTAACATAAACTGAAAAAATATTATCATTTATACAAATGTTTTTCTGTATGTAGTTGTTAATAAATAAAAATCACAATTTTTTTATATTAATCATTTGATTAATGTTAACAGAATATTATAATGTTATTATTTATTTTTAAAAGCTAAGTTGCAATTCATAGAACGTAAATTTGTTGATAATTTATTTATCTATCTCTATACAAATATGCATTTATTATATTATAGTATGAATAAATTCATACAATAAAGTGGCCAGAGAAACTACAAAACTTTCAAGCCAAAGAAACACATACCAGAAGGCTCCCACCAACATGACCTGATGAAGCATGCAGCTGCCACGCTGGGCAGTGGAAATCTCAGACTTGCAGTGGCACTGCCCGAGGGAGAGGACCTTAATGAGTGGGTGGCTGTCAACAGTAAGTATTCCTAGGTTTTTATTTATATTCATTATCATTTTTTTTTTCATTTATTAACTATTTTAACAGCATTTCTAATAAAAATTTCACATTTTACCATATTTTCATGTTGTGTTTATAATTTTTCATGGTAATTGGTGAGCACTTTTTTTACTCACAATGGTTATTTATTTTTTTAAATCTTATCAGTCAGTTCCTGCTCCAATATATAGAAATTTTCTAAGTCACTTTGTTTTAACTATTGTGCTGTTGGCCTGGTATTATATTAATTATATTGAAATCACAATTAAGTAAATTAGAAATAAGGCAGTTTTACAATTAAAGATTTTTAATTTAATATGTTTTTGCATATAATTAGAAGGGACAAAATAAAATAAATATTTTATTTGACCTCCCAGCAATTTTGAATGATGATTGTATTTATTTCAGCTCATTGCCACCCAGTAAATATTTCTTCTCATCATTTGTTTCTTATGACAAATCCATATGTTAATATCTCTAGTAAAGAAAACACATGTTAACAGAAGTTTTTTAAATGGTGAACAAAAATGAATTATGATCAACTGAACCAGTTTTACCTACGAGGTGCACTTTCATTCTCGAGGGGGCATTAGGGCTTTACAGGTTAGAGTGAAGATGAAAATTTTTGGTGGAAACAGTGATGAAAAAGATAAAAAAACACTGTGTGAAATATAAGGAAAATAAGTTTATAAAATAGATAAGTTAAAAAAAGAAAAACTAGTAAAACAACTAAAAAAAAAGTAAAAAAGGTCACCCACCATTTATGAGCAGGGGTGTGGACATTTTCAGACTGGATTGTTGGGTCAGCAAAGGTATATATATTCATGAGGAAGCTAACATTTATGAAAAACAAAGACATTTAATAATTTGTTATTCTTCTTTCATCAGTTGCATTGCTGACACATCAATGCATGATCAATACATTGTATAAGGAAATGTTTATGTTGATGTCAAATCAAGCACGATTTCAAACATTACTGATCCATTTTTAGTATAAAAATTTGTTACTTCACAATCTTCAACGATTTTATTTGTTTCATTTTGACTGACAAACGATAATTTATTTTCGTAACATTATATAAAAAATTTTACATAAAAATTATTTCTCCGACAGCTGTGGACTTTTTCAATCAGATCAACATGCTGTACGGTACGATCACCGAATACTGCAGGGAGGATTCGTGTCCAGTGATGTCAGCCGGCAAGAAGTACGAGTATCACTGGGCGGATGGGCTGACCATCAAGAAGCCAATCAAGTGCTCAGCACCTAAATACATTGACTACATGATGACCTGGGTTCAGGATCAGCTCGACGATGAGTCCATCTTTCCATCCAAGATTGGTTTGCTTGTTTGTTTGTTTGTTTGTTTGCTGCTTCCTATAAAAATTTATTTAATGATTTTTTATTTTATATATTATCGAGTGTTTGTTCTATGTTTTTATTGAGTGTTTATTTGTTTTAATGTGCAATAAACAATAGATATTTTCACCAATTGTGACATTTAGAATTGCATCATTCTCCACGTTGAAGGGGTGTTTTGGTGACATTAGAATTTTCAATTAATGAGAAAATAATAGAATGACTATGGTACAAATTTTCAATTCATTAATACAACCGTTGAGTAGTTTAAAAGTTATTGTTCATCATGCAATCTCGTCTTATTAATTTTTAGTTAATTCACTTATTTGTTATACTAAATAACAAGTAATTTATACTTTATGATTAAATTCAATATATATAAGCACAGAACTGACTATAATATCAATAATTACAACTATTGCCATTAATAATAATGATGATCCAATTCATGTCACTTGTTCTTACATCTATTCACATGATCGTGATTGTAAGTGTACTGGTTATAAGTGTTGTTATCTATCTCAACATAAGCTAATTAGTTAGTCATGATTCTGGCTTATGTGGAATGTAATGTAATTATCACCAATTAAAATTGTGGTTTGATTGTTTTTTATTTTATGTCAGTTTTTAAATTTGTGTACTATGTGGTTGTAGAAGTAGTTGTATGAGGGGAGTTATTTGATGCTGCTGGCTCAAAAATTTTACACATTCTTCACAATCAAGCTAATAAAAACAAAAATGTATATTTGCAAAACCAAAAAATGGTGATCTTTATTTATTTTTCAGGAGTTCCATTCCCCAAAAACTTCCTCTCAATTTCAAAAACGATATTGAAGCGCTTGTTTCGTGTCTACGCTCATGTTTACCATCAACACTTTGAACAGGTTACTCATTATTTTTCTTTTAATTTATATTTTAGATTCATTTCAATTGGCTTGTGCCCAACTAAATGTACTTAACTTTTGTTACATTATCCAGTCACACATCCTGTACGCTATGTTACAGTGTTTTTCACAATGTTTTACTGTGATAGTTTAAAAAAAAGTATTTGTTAGAATTTATTTGCTATACCCCATTCAATGCTGCTATAGCCTACAATTGTTTTTGCTGGCCCGACAAACGCACTCTTGTTTTGTTATGTATCTCATTGAAGTCTAAACAAGCTGATTATTTTATTAACTTTAACAAATATATTATTACATTTTGTTTATAAAATTGAGTTTTGCTTCGATCCACCAATGAAATCAATAGTTGAAATGATGTATTGGTATGGACAGGTTGTGAACTTGCAAGAGGAAGCACATCTGAACACATCTTTCAAACATTTCATCTACTTTGTCCAAGAATTCAGTCTCGTTGATAAGAAGGAGCTGATGCCCCTGCAAGATCTAATTGACCGACTCACAGCTAAGGACAGATGAATTCCAACACATTTCAGTATAATGAATTTTTTTTCAAACATGTTCGTCGTTCTTTTTATCATTCAATTGTTTTTTGAAGATCATGTTTTGCAATTTTATTCAACAAATTTGGTTACTTCACAAATGTATTTTTACTTTCGTAGATACTTATTTAATTTTATAAGTCTTTTATTTATTATTCTTATATTTATGTAATATTTTTGCAAGTGTTGTGTTGTAAGAATGGCGATGTGTTGATCAAGTGTCCTAAGCATGCTTACCACGTATCTAATTGTATATAAACGTACGATTTATTACTCCTAACTAATTAATTATTGTACTTTTTACTGGTGTCATAATGATTTTCATTGCTGTAATTATAAAACAATGACTTACGCATTTTAAATAATTTTTATTCTGAAAGCAGTGAAATTTTTTTAATTAGAATCGCATATAAAATTTGTGGCTTCATCATTACATCCAAGACACAATAGACAATGTTGCATTTCATTTTACGAACCAGATATTCACTATTTCGTCATTCACGTTGTGTTTATAAAATGTCAAAATTTATTTTATTACAACTGGTTCATAACAGTTAATGTGTACTGATTTCTGGTAAGCAATGGTCAGTGAAGTTTATATTAAATTTATTAATTCAAAAATATAACGTGCACTCAAATATTCAATAACATAGCAATGATCTTATTAACTTTTTATGACAAAGTTAAGACCTTAACACAAAATGGGACCAGGGTACATAGCGTACGTCAGAATTATTAGTATCTACTTTTCGTTCGCAATTGATAGATATATATATATATATCTATTAATATTCACGTATGTTTTAAGATAATTTGTATATACGAATACGTGTACGTTGACACGATTTAAGTGCAATTTTAATCGCGACTAATGATTTGCAACAGAATGAAAAAAAAATGTTTACACATAGAATCACTAAGTAGCTGATTTAGATGGCTATGAGCATTATTTGTGTTGAGCGTTAGTGAGTCGTTGTCTTAAGAGAAAAGGTAGTGTTTTTAAAGAGAAAATTGACCTTACAAGTCTGTTAGAATAGTTGACCGTCCCTTGAGCACGGAAAAATATTCTAAACTTATGAAAATTTCCACCGTCACCAATCGTTGCTGAAAGTCCCACCCGGTCATTTCTCCCCGGTCGTCAAATTTTTTTCCAAAATTTTGGCCCCCCGTCAAAGTTGTCTAGATCCGCTACTGCAATCACTTTTGAATACATGCAATGTTATTAAAAATGTATAAATATAGATTGATAGGTTAAACTTATAGTCACTTCGTTTTTAGTGTATATTTATCACATTTTGTCTTATAATCATAGCAATTCTCTTTGTATTACCACAACACATGTTTCATGTTCGTGAGGATCCGGCAACAAACTTTTCCATTGAAAGAAAATATTGTTCAGCTTACTCTTAAATGTTAAAAGTAATTTGTTAAGAAAAGTTCGCTCGATTGAAAAGCTGAAAGCCTCCAAAATGAAGTATATTGAAAAAGACGCAACCAGTGTACCGAATCAAATGTCTTGGATCTAGCTATTTTAGTTTGTCTTCCAATGTTTAAGGAGTTTTTTTCATTGTTTTACACTCAGTTTATTCAAATTTATTCTTTAAATGTCATTTAACGGTGCTACACGCAAATCCTTAACCCTAGATCGGCTTTAGATCATAAATTCGAAATATCTTGTATCGCGCATTTTATCTTTTTAGGTTTTTCCTAGTTAAAACGTCATCCATCATCATTTCCTCAAAATTGTAAATTATTCTTTGACATTGCCATAGTAGACGTAGTATTCAGTCCTAACCATCGTGAACTAACAAAATAAACTTAACGCTCAATTTGACCTGCCTTCGTCTTGATTTAATTTACATGTGGAAATACGGCAGCAAAAATCGCTTTGATATAATAATTTTTTAATGAACTATATACTATATAAAAATAATATACACAAATACAAAAAAGCTCAATTTTTGTTATGATGTAATTCTTCTTGCTTCAAGTATCCAGAGTTCCTGTAAAGTATTAATAAATCAACAAACTGTGAATTATTATCTATTATGAATTAATGAATAATTGTAAAACATACCAAATAATCAGAACGATTGTAACAAAAGTGTTGATAAATGTTGTCAATTTTACGACAGGAGAATATGTGACTAGGCGCATATTTGCAGTTGAGTGTGCAAAGTTCTTGTATCCATATAGTTAAATGGTCATATGCAGGACAGGCAATATCTTTATCTTCAATTGTGAAGTTTAATCTATTAACAGGAACATTTACATAAACATTTTTTGGTGCACTTTTGAAAGTTAAAAATATTGGAATAATTAATTAAAATTGTGGAACTGCTAGACTTTAGAATACGTTTTCAGAACAAATTTAATAGATACAATATTTAATTTTTTTCTATTTTGAGAAAAAGGTTAAAGGTCTATTACTTTTCCTATGTTCAGAGAAATCAACAACACACAAATGGCGTACATGAATATGTGCTGATGGTTAAGGAATTCATATATTAGTATGAAATATTTAGAATATTTCGTGTCGGGTTTGGTGAACTAAAAAAAAAGGCCATTCACATTTTTGGATCTATTTTATAGGTGTTGGAGGTATGCATTCCCTCACCAAATTGTAACAACCCCTAGGTCTGTCACTAGGCATTTTTGTCGCTGTCAACTTGTTGGGACACTCAGTTGAATAAAGTCTATTATATCTTGTACTACTAAAAAGACCTGGATATGAATGCATGATTTACAAAGTAGCAATCCAAAAAGATGCAGTATGTTCCTAAAATTTAATTTGACAGTTAAATTAACAGAATGACATTTATGTGATGTAGGACTGTGATATTATTGCTGTTAATGAAATCCATTAATTAAAATTAAAAATTAAGCGCAAAATCTACCTTTTTTCCAAGCTAATGAAAACGTCAACTTGATCTTTTTTGTTGATATTTATAATATGTATGATTGTTTCAAAAAAGGCATCTGTTATGTCCTGACTGAATATTACTGAAATGTTTTCATTTAAACTTCAATTGATGAAATGAAAAAGAAACTGTGTTAATTCTTATAATTTTATTTTTGTTTATGAAGCATAAACAGTTAAAAATGTATTGACACAAGTAGTTGGGTCGTTGGGTAAAAATAACATGGTTGGGGTGGAATCTTTTGGACAAAAGAAATTTTAACTGATTTAAAATCAGGTTGTATGTATAAGTCTATGTTTAAAATTCACCGCTATCCAGTTTGGGGAAATTCTGTAATTTGCATTCAGAGTTTTGAAATTGTTGAAAAAATTGAATAACAAAAATCTAGTTATCGTTTCAAAAATTATTTTTAATTTAATAAGAAATATACAAAAATGAAACAAATGATTGGGTGAAATTGACGTTAAAAGAAATTCAGACATATGGCAAGATTCTGAATTGACGGACTTTCCAAACACTAAGCCAAGTGAAGTGCATGTTTATTTTAATGTGACCCAACTAAAAACTTCTTAGCCATTCATAACAATGTAACTAAAAAATATGCTATAGAATAGATATTAAATTAAATTTAAAAAGAACAAATATTCTACCATCGGAGGCCAAGATGACATCGGTGTTTTTTAAATTACTAATTTCTTCAGCCGACCAATGATTGTCACCTAACAGATAAATTATGAGGTAAACAACAGTTCTGCTTTACTTGTCACACAGCAAACAATAAAGAATACTTTCAAACAAATCCAAAGAGCAAACCCAAATCATTTAGATTTTTATTCCAATCTAATTTTAATACAGCATGATTGTTTTCGGCCTTTGCCAATAAGCCAGTATTCAGGATAAAATTTGCTTGAGATAAATCTAAAGCAGAATCCAAGCAGTCTGAATTTAAAATAAATTACAAATCCAATGAAAACTGATATTTATTTTTAAAAGAAGTATACCTGTACAAATGATTTTCTCGCAAAACATTCCAACAACAATGCTGCAGAGGCCTACACCTGCTCCCAATTCAATAACAACTTTGCACTTAAATATATCTTTGTTACTTAATATAAAATCAGAGAGCATTAAACTGGCAGGCCACACTTGTCTACCAACATCATCCAACTTTGTTGATAAGCTATGTTCTGTAAAATATATAAGACTATATCTGTCATAATTTTTCAAATAAATAAATAAACAACTAACTTATTAAAATGACATTAAAATCTTCATCTTGTCGTGGTAAAACCAAATCTCCATCACCATCAACTGTAACTGAATCATTATTCGTAACTGAATCATTATTCGTAACTGAACATCTTCTATCACTACTTTTAAATTTGAACCTTGTAACGTAATCTGTATTGAAAAACAAGCAGATCACATTATTTATTATATGCACAATGTAATTAAAACTGTGTATCCAGATATATTTAAAAATCATTACTTAGCTACCAATTTTTAATATATATATATATAAGCAGGAATTAAAGACTAAGTTTGTGCCAGACACAAGTTATAGTTTAAACATCCTGCTTTAACCTCAAATTAGTTTGGCATTAATCAGTCTGATAATCAATTACCCATAATTAAAGATAACCTTTTAAAATTTAATTTTAATTGCATATATAAAAATAAATAATATCTATAAAGAGTGAATAAGATAATAAAAAATACCACTTTATTTTTTATTTCGTCAGTTGAATCTGTTAGTAATTAAATATTTGAATAACAAAATAAATCATGACTTCTATTCTAAAATTTTAATTAAGTTTCTTTAAAAAACACAAAATATGAAATAGAAAAAATATATCATTTTACATTTTTTTTAGAAAATAAAAAAACGGTTTTGAATGTTGTTGAGTTTTATTATGCAACACTATAGAAATTAGATTCTAAATATTTTAATATTTCAAAGTAAAAGAAATCAGCTACTAAATTAAATTTTAATTTTAAAACAGCAAAAATCTGACTTTCACTTTCACATTGATCATCATTGCTATTTTCTTGGATTCTTGACAAATTTTCATCTAAATGAACATCTGATAAAACAATATCATCATTTTGCATTCTTCACGTTGTAAGATTGCAGAATGAACTTTCAAAAACTTCGAGCGTTGAAGGAATTAACACATTTGCCACATACAAACAGAAAATAGTTTTTGCACGGTGTTGCCAAAGAAACAAAGACAAAAAATCCGTTTGTTAATTTTGTTAATCAATTCGCTACCAATCATTTCAATCAATCAATTGGCATATAAAGCGTTATTTCCGCGATGTTCAACAGCGCTCCTCAATGAATTTTGCAAACTTGAGATTTTCCCTTTTAACTCCGTAACGTAAGTTATGGAGAAGTAGTCAGGGAAATAGGTAGAGTTCCAGATAAAACAGCCAAAAAAAGCAAATGCAGATTTAGCAAAAAAGTGTTTAACACGAGTTAAGACGAAGTGAGAACAAGAAGACGATGGTAAACCGTTTGGGTTCAATTAATATATTTGATAAGTAGGTACTTAGGAAATAATTTAGATTGAGACTTATACATAAATGTGCAAATTTTAAAAATTTTATATTTTATGGGTAGCCAGTGCAAGAGAACAAGATGTGGAGATATATGAGAAAAGAAAGGGATACGAGCAACTATAGACGAGCAGCAGAGTTAAAAGCTTTACTTAAAAAAAGAGTGTAGAATCAGGAAGATCATAGTAGAGCGAGTTAAAATAATCAATCATAGATAAGACTAACGAAGTAACAAGAAGGAGAAGGGTAGGATCGTCAAGAAAAAGTGAAAGTTTTTTTATTCTACGTAGATGAAAGTAAGAACTTCTAGCTACACTATTTATTTATTTTATTTTATGCTATTTTATTTTATTTTTCATGTTAAAACATTTTTTCTCTCCGTCTTTTTATTTATTTATTTACTTATTTGTTTAATTTTGTATTACTGCCTTGCATGCTGTAACAGTTTCTGCGCCTGTCAGATCTTGATTTTTAAAGAATAAAAAAAAAAACAAAAAAAAACAATTTATCTGAGAAGAAAGAGACATACCGGAATAAAAAATAAAGCCTAGACTACGAAACTTGTGAGAAACATCAAGAGTTATAGAATCAGTTAAAACTAGCACCCCAAATCGCTAGTTTGGGTGCTAGTTATTTAAAAGCTTTTAAATGTTTTGACAATTGAATTTTCATGCACGCTTTTTTTTCTTGAATTGTTTTAATTTTCTTCCATTTTATAACATTTTTTGTACTTCTTTATTGTACGTTTTGCGAATCTTTGGTGGAGCCCAGTTGAAACTTCAGAAATTTGGCTATACAAATTTGATTGAACATAAAACCGTGAAATACCAGCATGATGATTCTTGTTTGCCTTTACATTACACTGATAAATATCAATAATTGTTTTATGTTGAGCAGTAGCAAAACTGCCTACCTTGTTGTTTGTACGGTTGCTAAGCGATGATATAATTTTCTATTTATTTTTAAATTTTTTAAAATTTAATTGAACAGTTTTTTAAAATGAAGAAACAAAAACGATGTTTGTACGATGTTTTTATTATTTTTTTTTATTTAATTTAATTATTGTGCTTGTTAATAAGTATAACGCTTCGTTTGAAATGATGATTTATAAATTTTTATATATTTATTTTATAAATTTATATTATTTATATTCAATTTTACAAGTAGGCCTACTCATATAGGCATATATAGTTACACATAATAGAATATACTATATATGCAAGTACCTTGTCATATTACACAACTGAATATCTCTAAGATTTACCTTGATGATTGAACAAATGAATTTTTGGTAAACCGAATCAATAAAATCACTAACTAAACAAGTGTAATAATAATATATTTTATATTGTATGAATTTATATTAGATAAAACGTTTGTGTTTAATTTTAATTGTCAATCAAATCAGTCGAAGCTCCCTCAGCAATCAAGCACTTTGCCTTCCTTTCATCCAAAAGTCGCTTTTACGAATCCAACAGCGCCAATGCTTTAAAGGAATCTAGTAATGCGATCGGGCCTAATACTTATAATGCTGACAAGGTTCGTGGCTGTTTTCAACCTTGAAAAAACATTTTAATAAAAAAAAGAAAAAAAACCACCCACTTTAATCAGGCCAATGTCAAATTAGGTTTGCCACTTTTTAACCCTATTTAATACCGAATAAAAATGAAAGTGGGCCCTACATAAAAAATAGGCCATAAATCAGACAGAAGATGGATTACAATTAAGTAAAGCCAATAACATAACAATGACCTACCCGAGTTTGTTCATGGTGTAAGTAAATCAAACAAATTGCGCAAATATATTTTTTTCTTTGTTTCGTAAAAAATATTTATACGCCACATCTTTTTTGTATAAACGTAATATACGCTTTTGCTGTAGATTTAATGAGACCTGTACATTATTTTTCGTTAATTATTGACGAAAATAGACGTCGCGACACAAAAACTCTTATCCCATTTTATTTCAAAATAAATTTTTTTACTGCAACTATAAGCAGAGAAGACCCAAATGTTTTAAAAAAAAAGATACAAAAAATGTTAATGTTACAAATCTCGCAGCTCGATTTCATTGATAAACTCAACAAAAGACCAAGAAGTCATAAAGGATATATCATCGGAGCTAGGACTGCATCCAGGTTTCCTCGGATATCAAAAGTGATTATGTTCTTTTAATTTTAGCTGATATTTATTCTGTTCAACTTTTGCAATTATTTTCCAGCAGGACAATAGTATTGGACCTGGAGCTTACAGTTTCCCAGAAATCAGCATGAAAACTAATTTCAAACCATTCAATTCAGCTGCAAAACGGTTCTCCTACGCATTAGAAAGTACAACTCCAGGGTGGGTTAGCCACTCGTTTTATTTTCATAAGATTTGTGGTTTTTTGGCGAATTTAAATATTTACAAATATATTAAAAAGCAAATGATTTTTTAATAACTGTAATTTTTCTCATACCTTTTCACAGTAATTCAGTTATAAAACCTCTCTAGGTTCATTTTTGTAAGAGCTTTGTTGAATATTCAAATATCAGTCGTAAACCAAGAAACTTTCAGTACTCAGTATGCGCAATAATTCGGATTTTCTAATTCAAACATATATTTTAGTTTAGACTGAAAAATTTTCGTTTATCGATTTAAGTTGAATGGTATAAAAATCAAACAAAGAAGTCAAAACAAATTTAGCTAAATATAGATTGTCTGCATTATATATATATATATATTATATATATATATATACAATATTCTATAAATTCTACCATAGTAATTTATAGAATATTGTAAAAATTATGGTTTATTACCAACATATATATATATATATATATATATATGTGTGTGTGTGTGTGTGTGTGTGTGCGCGCGTGTGTATATATTCAGCAAACTCTACATTTAGATACATTCAACATTTTACCCAAAAAACTAGCTCAAGAAATAACACACCGCGCCGTTCGCAATTTATGGTTTAATAACAAACCTAGCATGTTAATTTTCGTTGAATTGTAAAAAAACATAACCAAACAGCAAACGCTGAGACTTGACTGATATTTTGAACGCCAACAGGACCGGGACCTACGAATGCGAGTACAACCCTTGCAAACATGTGCAGTATCAGCAATCATTTGGCGGAAACCCAGTCAATCTCCCGTGCATTACTCAACATAGTTCCATTAAAAGCAACACTGATAAAGTAAGGCTCTAAAGCATGTTTGACACTTACCAATTTCATTAATAAATCTTATTTTTTATATGCTTGTAACAAATAGTTAATATTAAAAATTAAATAAATTGCTGAATTATAAGAAAAGTTTATTACAAGATGAAATGCTAAGTTTCAATAAAATTAAACTAATATTTTTTTTAATTCAAACGGACATCGTGTCATCACCGCAATGTATTAATTTTTAAAACGGTTTCTCTCCAAGAAAAATGCTAATAGTAGAATTAAACTGAGTTTTAGTGTTTTTTTTTTTTTAGTAAATAAATTACACATATATACATGTAAATAAATATGATACCGTGCAAAGGTAGCATAATAACTTGTTTATTAATTGTAAACTAGAATGAAGGGGTAAACGAAATAAATACTGTCTCCTATATACCAATAATGTGGGGTAAATCATAGATTTACGCCAATTGCATAAATCCTATGCAATTGGCATAGGATTTATGCCTCGCATATTGTGAGATTGAAAAATTCAGGGCTTCATATGCGATTACTGCCATAGTCGGCACCCCTAAATCATGTATACAGTTATAGCATCCCTACCAATACTTGTATGTTTACTTATAATTACCTATTACTCTTATTTTAAAATGTAATTCGGCCAAATATATATAATTACCGTAAATTACTCATATTTAACGACATCAATGTTATCCGTTAGTCCGGCTTAGTACTACTAATTTGGTAAAGCGAGGTTCAACATGAAACCCGTCACAGTCTATCCAAACGACTAATTCAAATAAAGACAAACAGAAAAAAAAGTAGCGATTTGGTGAGAGAACTTGGAATTGAAGCAAAAGAATTATTAATAAAGTCAAAGGTAGCTCAGCAAACATTTCTAGGTTTTATGACAATAGCTCACTCAATTTTATACTGTATTCTTCTTCTTCTTCTTTCTCGTGCCTTATTCTTTCAGGACATTGGCGATGGCAACTATCGACCTCCACAAAACCCGATCTTTAACACTCTGTAGTAGTTGAAATGTGGTGATACTCAAAAAGTGACAGTAGTTGTTAGATTTTCTATTCTTTCCTTCCGCATGACGTGACCAAACAACTTTAACGGTCCCCGTCAGATTATCTATAGTAATTTCCTCTTTTCATAACCAGACTGTTTTAATACATCCTCATTCGAATTATGAGAGGTCCAACTAATATTCATAATTTTTCGCAAAAACTACATCACAGCAGCGTTAATCTTTTTTCAATTTCTATATTTCTATAGAAATTGTCCAGAACTCAGAGCCCGTAAGTTAGCACAGAAAAAATCCTAACAGTTTTAATTTTGTTGATATTCTGATTTCACTGTTGGTGAGGCTGTTTTTCATTTAGAATATGCATCTCTCGCCATAGATATCCTTCTTTTGATATCCCCATCACATTAACAACCTGAGATAATCAGACTTCCGAGATAATTGAAGCTGTTGACTTGTTTTAACTATTAATGATTATGGAGCAGATCTGGGCAGTTTTGGTTTTACTGATAACCATGCACTGTTTTGTTGACGTTAATTTGCAAGCGTTTCCTTTCACTTTCAAAAACCAGTTTGGAAACAAATGTTTGCAGTTTTTTTTATTGAATCTGCTATAAGAGCTGTATTATTATCAGCATATCTTACATTGTTAATGTTCACGCCTCCAATTGATATTCCAGTTAGATCTTCTATCTTTCTTTCTATAGAGATTTTACAGATCTGGAGAAAATACACAACTTTGCCTAACACCTTTCTTTATTTCGAAAAACTAGTCAACTTGTTACCAACTTTCATCGAGGCTCTTTGTACCCAATAGAGGTTTTTGGTAACTCTCGTGTCTTTTCTATCAATGTCCAAATTTTTCAATATTTCCATAAGCTCCACGTGTTTCATGCTATCAAAAGCTTTGGAGTAATCGACAAGACATTTCAATCGCTCGTTCACTGATCAATCGTAGCATAAAGATAGCGTTTCTTGTGCCACAATCCTCGACAAAACCACATTGGACATTTGATATTTCAGATCTGATTTTGTTTTGTGCTCTCATCATCAGAATTTTCAAGAAAAGTTTTGTAAGATGACTCATCAAGCTGATTGTTCACATTCCGTTGCATTAGGTTTTTAAGGCAATGCAATAAATATTGACTTGGATAGGTCTTCAGGAATTTCGCCACTGTTATAAATCTTGTCATTCAAAATTTCTGTCACTTTTTCGATGCCAAATTCATAAAGACATTTAATTTCTTCAGAAACTATCTCATTTGGACCTGGCACTTTATTTTAATTCAATTAGGAAAGAGCGGCACGAACTTCAGATCTAAGTATTTTTGGTCCTTCTACGTCTTTTTTAATAGGAGGTTTTTCACCACGGATATCATCAAAAAGATCGTTAATGTAAAATTTTATTTAATTATATTTTCTACATTTTTATACAATTTTATTTCAAGCTTTCAAGTACTAAGGACGAAAATCGTTACAACAGAAAGTTGGCATACCTGCAATTATTTTATTAATAATGTTTGAATTGTGTACTAGTATTTTAAATTTCTGTTACAAATTTTTATAACTTTATATAAATATATATTCTAACACAAACACATGCATGCACACCAGTAGTACATATTGTTATCCTTGAAAAATCAACTATATTTGAACCAAAGAAGCAAAATTTAACTTGTTGATACTTTTTTCAATGTCCTGAACATTTTTAGAATAAAAATTGGAGAAAGCTTCATTGAACTGCTGCAATTGCTTTTTTAGAATGACATTCTGAAATAGTTAATAATTCAATTGTATTTCAAGTGCTTATACATTAATATAAATGATTATTGTTCACCTTGTTGTTATTTAAGATTTTAATTTTTACACCAGCATCAGCTTTTTTCTTTTCATAATTTGATTTACATTCAAGCAGCTTTGCTTCAACATCTAATATAACAGAAACTATATTGAGGTTAGGATTCACAGACTTCAAGAAGAGAAGATGTTTTTTATGAGCTTCCATATCTATTCTGAAATTATAAAATAAAATTTTAAGCATCTATGTTCCTACAATCATGTAGTTATTTATTATTGACTTTTTTTAAATAATTTTACTTAATTCAACAACATGTTAAAATTAAATGATATCAGTTTTTCTAAAATAAGAATAAACCTAAAAATTTATCATTTAATAAAATGAAAAAGTAAGCTAAATGTAAGCCAAGATTTAGTACAAATTCACCCATATAATAGACATAAACTTTGAAATATTTTTTGCTTGATATTTTTAAAATTCTTAAATGTATAATTTGAAGACAGAAGAGTAAAACTTTCATCTTTCAACAGCTAGCTAGATGTTATAGATGTAAAAATCACTTATTCATTCTAAATGTAAATGAAAAGTTTGAAAAATATGAACAAATGATAAATATAAATGTTGACTTACTTGGCATTTTTCAAATCTCTTATGCAAGACAAAGTGTCTGATATTATATTGTTTCTAAGTGTGTTGATGCTTACTAGGAATGATTTCAAACAATCTAAAAACAAACATGTTTCAAATCCAAAAAACATACACAAATAAATAAAATTAATTAGATACAATTATACTTTTAAGTTCAGTGCCGTTAGCATTAAGAGCATAATGAATTTCGGCATTTTTAGCAAACTCCTCTTTCAGATCATCAGAAGAATCAATACATAGGTTCATCATGGTAATAGAAAAAGACTTTTCAATGCAAAACAATCGGTCAAATTTGTTCAGCAAAGAATTCACCAGATCAATTAATTTTTTCAAAATTTTACTTAAAATGTTGATGTTATCTATCGCATGATTGTCAACATTCTCTAGCTCTATTGGCTTCTCCATAATAGAATGCATGACATCAGAAAAAAATTCTTTAGCAATGTAAAATTTATTCAATGGAATTCCATACATAAACTTTAAAGTGTTTTCAACAACATCTGTTACAAAATTTGTATACTATAGTATAAATAAGTATAAAATAACAACTATAAGTAAATTTGTTGTAGGGTTGTGAAAATGAAGAAAAAGATAAATAAAACTATCAATAAACACAAACAGTAACTAAAAACTAAACTAAACACAGCAAAGCCTTTTTACTTTAATTTAATTAAATTAATTTAACAACCTATTATTTATATTATAATTATAATAATCTACTAATACCAACAATTTTGAACAAATTTTACAAAGCTAAATTTTTTTAATTTCTATACTATGTTGATATCGATTAAACGTTTGTTACTGTTTTAATTAACACACTTTTCAACAAAATTAAACTTCAAAATAAGCGACCCTTAGAAAAAAAAATGTAAAGCGCTAAAGGCTAATTCAATTTTTTTAATATACACACATACAAAAAAAAGAAGTTTAAACCGTTTTTGTTGTCGGAATCTTCGCACGCACAATTTAACTCGTAAGGGTTAAAACCATTCTCCTCGTCTACTTCCCGAGCTTCAAAATCAGAATTGTCGTTTGGACGGGAAGCCATCTTGTCTACTAAACATAGATAAAATATTTATGTATTACATAGAATATTTTTGTTATCTTGTTAAAACCTACAACCTAACCTAAAACAAACGAAATTAAATAAGAACGCATTGATCTCAATCTATTTCAGCTTTATTTTTTCGTATGTTTCTTAACGCAACATAATTTGGGACAATGCACCTACCAAAACTAAACAAAAATTTAGTTCATCGTATTTGCTAGAACAGTTTTCAACTTAAAGTAAGATCTCACATTACTCAATCTGTTTTCAGAAATCAAGATCATGACGATAAAAAAATTTTGTCCATAACTGCTGCCATAAAATTTCAAACACAGTCTGACCCTCACCTCTTTGATGAACGTTAGGCCAACACGTCAACAAAATAATACGTTCTACATTTACCATGGATATATATAATATCCATGACATTTACCCTCACAAGTCATTCATTTTTTATACCAGTTTAATGTTCACTGGACCAAAACTCTAGAAGAACGTCATTCCATCGGACATTAAAAAGATTAATAATATAGTTTTGCTTAAGAAAAAACTAAGTAGGTAAGTTTCTACTTACCTGTAATCCTCCTTTTATTCAATATGCTTTATCTGTTTTTCTTTTCTAATTTGCCTCAACGTTCATTATTCAGACATTAGATAAATTCATATGATTATTACATTTAGTTTGTTAATATTTGTTATTAATTTGTGTTCTGTTCACATAGTAGAATTTTTTCGTTAGAAGTATCAACATTAATATCATTAATTTTTGTCATTAAATCTTTTTTTGATCCATTGTCGAACGAAGATAAATTTTTACCAGCTTTTATTTCAAAGAACTTCTTTCGCAAGAAAAAATTGAAACTCACACGGTCAAAAAATGTTTTATATTTGATAACATTCTTAGCGCAGAAAATATTTCAGTTTCGTTTTTCTCAACCTTTCCTACTTGAAATTGACGTCTTAAACGTTTAATTTTTTTTATAATTTCACTTTTTTCTAACTCATCAAAAGTTTCAGCAAGAGTCGAATCAGCTATGGAAACTCTTCAATATCTGTTCCAATAAGGTGCGGTGGTTGACCGGTTACCAACTTTACATATATATTCTGGATCCTATTTTTAAGATCTTGAAAAAGTTATCAAGTGAATGAAACATCGATCGTCTCAATTTTTGCTTCAACACTAAAGTTTCATAATTTGCCTCTTCTTCCAGCATCGCCGTTTTACGACTTTTTCAGTTCTATAATTTTTCTATAAATTTTCCATCAATATATGCACTTAACATCAAATGTATAAGTCTTTATGTTTTTTATTCTCATTACATAAAATATTTGTTATTTATTTTAAAATTTTTGTTTGGCAATTTTTCGGAGGCTCCTCCTAATTGGATGAACGAGGCGGTCCGCCCCCTTACCCCACCCGCATTATGCCACTGTAATAGTTTCAACTATTTCTTTGCATATGTTATAAACTTGTTGCAATGTATGTTATTTCTCGTGCGCAACTCTGCTACGTCATGCAAACTATATATTGTGTCTGCGTTTATTCTCTGGAGTCTATATAAACAAACTCAGACTTGAAACAATCTCGCATTGAAAATGATGCTTCATTGCTTGATACACTTGAAGTGTATACATTCGTTTATTGATTGAACGATTTTCAAAATGACACTTTTATTCGTTATACTACTGCTAAATAACGTTTTACTGTCGTATTCGATAAAGAAGAACTTGTTGAGTTACGAGCTCAGCCGTCGTCAAAGTGAGGAATGTTTCGACTTAACGATTGAAGAAAAAGTAAACAACGCGGAATTCATTTTTTCTGGCACTGTAAGAGAAGTTCGATACAATGTGGACAAGAAAGCTCAAAAAGCATCGGTTGAAATAAAGCGAATATTCAAGGGTCAGCACAAACTAACTCAATTGTTTCTTTCCGAAATCAAAGGAAGATTTCTGCCGATTGTTCACAAGGTTTGCACTGTCGAAGGACTCGGTCTCGATGGTCTTTGTTCCAGTCACACGAGAGTTTTTGATACCTGGCTCTTCTTCACTAATCCCGTAGATGACAAACTTCAGTTAAATTCATCGTTAGTTCGACTATCCGTGATGTCCATTGCAAGTATCGAGTCAGCCGTGGCAGGTAGGAGTTCAAGTTGATTCCTCATTTAATTGTTTTCATTTTAATTGAACTAATTAAAGTAAATCGCGTCTTAAAAATAGTTTTTTGTAATCTAAACGCGAATTATTCAAGCCGTGCATAAATTTGTTTATTATGCGAAAACGTTACAACGTCAATTTGCACGAAGATTTCAATAATGTTCAATCATGATTTTAGATTTCATTTTTGATTGACATGTTTCACAAGACAACAAACAATCACCGACGAAAAAACAACTTAGCATACATGCGTGCAGTTGCAGTTATATTTCAGAGCAGGCGACAAACATGTTAGCAAACATTGAAAATTTTCATCCCAGCGCTGGCCTCGATATCTATTGATTTTCTTTATTGATTGACTCCTAAAATCGATATTTATATCTACTGTAGCATCGCTCAATCTTTTTATCTAATTTCTCATCGGAATGTTGCTCACCCTGGCCAGCGTGCTCACATTTCACACCACACAACTCACACTACTGGATAATAACGCACATAAATAAGAGGACCGAAACTTAAAAATGCGTTACTACAATATCAAAAAATTAGAAAACTAGCAAGTATTGCTGATAAAAATTTTCAGATATATTTTTGGTACTTTTTATAGACTTTTTATAGTTTAATTTTTTACTTTCTGTTAAGAATTGCTATTTTGAAATATCACTATTAATCCGTATGAAATTTATTTTTCCAGTTTCAAATAATTTTTTCACATGTTAACCTACTACAAAAAATATTTCAACTGCAAGGTTTTATAAAAAGATGATTTGAATTAAATTTTAAACAAAAGATTTACACATTATAAAAAAAGATTGACATTGTCATTTTGACAAACCGGTTCCATTAACATTTTTCACTTTTTGAGATCCTTTCATCATTACTATTTTTGGATTATTACAAATTTTAAAAAAAATTAGAAATTAGTTTAAAAAATTTAATAAATATGCATCTTATAAACAAACATAAACTGCAGTCATATGCAGAATTATGTTGACAATTCATTTCCACTACCATTACCACACAACCACATAAGACGCGTCCATGCTTGCGTGTTTGTACGCAAGCAATAAATACCGCACACTTGAATGAGATGCATGAGGACTCTCCAGTGCACGGGACAGTCGTGCAACTTTATATTGATACTCCTACTTCAGTTGCCTACAATATGACAATGTAAATCTTCTTCTATAATGTGAAAATTTTTGTTAAAAATTTTATACAAATCATCTTTCTTTAAATTTTGCAGTGTAAACATATTTTTGGTATTAGATTAACATTCAAATACATTGCTAGACAATTTTATTTATTATATTTGTATAAAATTTTAAATTGTGAAATAATGTAAAAATTGTATATTAAATTTTTTGTTTTGCAAGCTGAAAATTTAAAATTTGTGTATAAAGATTGGTCCTATAATTTGAACAGTCTTCATTGAATGCACTAAATATTGTTTGTTTTTTTCATTTTGTTTATCATCATTCATGAAGAACATCAGCGTCAATAATATTTTCATATAAAATATGTTATGTGTTTATGTAAACTCGTCAAAAACCTAAGTTTTTGTTATTTTATTTGAATATCTTGATAGCGTGTATATATAAACATGAATCAAACTACACTGTTTACACGTTTCCATCTTTCTAACAAAGTCTGCCATGCAGCTGAAAATTGTGATCGTTTTAAAATATCAGCATTATCAGTAGTTTTAGACGTATTAATTTATTTTTTGAGGTTCTGTTTTTATGAGTGCAATCATTTCAACAATAATCAAATTCTAAAATGACAAAATGATCCCTGACTATCATATATTTTTAGCCCCTATACATCTTCACGTATTAAGTATTGCTGAAACCTCTGAATTTTAGTAGAGCGTACCATACCTTAAATTTCTAACATTTTCATATTTTCACGCAAAAATGCAATTAATACTTAACTGAAAATGTGAATGCGTTCTGTTTTAAACAGCGTATGAATGCGATGAACTTTAACATTTCATTTACGCCAGCCTCCACGCAAGTCACAAGACCACAACCAATCTTTGCTTGGTTTAACGTAATGAGCTGAAGTGGTTGAAAAAATATCCTTAAAATTTAAAAATAATTTATTTCATAGCTTTAATTTTCTTTTTTCTATACTACTCTTCATGCCTAGTTTGAAATCAACCAAAATTGTGCTAATTGTGCTGCCTAACAAAATAGTGACTGCATCTAATTTCTAATGAATTTATCACCAGCATCACCAAGCTACAAAAGTTCACCGTTGAAATAATCATAACATCTGAGAATCTGCATTAACAATTTTGTGAGAAGTTTGATGCTAAAGAAATGTATTGGGCCTCGAATCTGAGGAGCGCCTGTTTTGAGCAATCTCAGAGGCGATCACGATGATTAATTGAGTATTGTCACGCACGCCGATTGTGACGATGATTTTGATGAAATATTGTCAGCCACGTACAAAAATTCTTGCTTCATAATTTCCATTTGAATGCTAAAATTAGTTGACCATCGCAATGACTGTGTGTCATAAATTGACGTTTAAAGTTTGGCAAGCTGTAAATTTCAAATTTTTCATTGAACATCACGTTAACGTTACCTCGATTGTCATCTTTGATGAACAAAAAATTCATTTAAAAATTCTCTTTCATAACAAACGTAATAATTTGACTTTTGGTTAAATTAATATACCGTACGACATGTTTCAATTTTTGCCAGCCAGTTTCAAGAAATTAATTTTTGCCATAAAATTTTAAAACGCTCTTTCTAGGGAAACCGCTTACTTCTCCAAGACCGACGTTTCCAGAAGACACTGGTTAATTCTTGTTTGTAGAGAATTGAATGCACAAATGAATGGATGAATGAATGGATGAATGAATGAATGAATGAATGAATGAATGAATGAATGAATGAATGAATGAATGAATGAATGAATGAATGAATGAATGAATGAATGAATGAATGAATGAATGAATGAATGAATGAATGAATGAATGAATGAATGAATGAATGAATGAATGAATGAATGAATGAATGAATGAATGAATGAATGAATGAATGAATGAATGAATGAATGAATGAATGAATGAATGAATGAATGAATGAATGAATGAATGAATGAATGAATGAATGAATGAACGAACGATTCCTTGATCAGACTCAGATGAGTGCAGCGACGATCATTTCTGTCAGTATAGTGAGAAGTGCGTGCGGAGTGCGGAGGGAAAATTTGAATGCAGGTGCCTGCAGGAGTGCAGTTTGGTTGGTGAGGCGGTGTGCGGCAGCGATGGAGTGACCTACGTCAACGAATGCTTCCTCAACAGGACCATGTGCCACGCGAAGAAACATATTTACGTCCACAATTTTGGACCTTGTGGTGAAGTTCTGCTTCAACTACATTCCTCTACTAATCTACTAATAATTTTGTTTTGTTTTTTTAATATTTAACACGTGATCGCTTCTTATTTCATTCATCGATAAACAGCTTTGTTTCTTCCGACCATTAAGTAACGGAATATTTGAATTAATAATGTGAGACCGACATATACTTGAGCAGTTTGTAATTTTTATTTTTGGCAAGCAGAAACCCGCGATCCCTGCGCTACGATAACCTGTTATTATGGATCGAAATGTGCCGTCGAGGAGAACCAGCCCTCCTGCGTTTGTGAGGATGACCGCAGCTGTGAGGCTTACGACGAGAATGAAGACATCAATGGTGAGATTGTTTAGACGTGCCAAATAAACATAACATAAAAATGTAACACTAATTACATTTAAGAAATATTTTTTTTCCTCCTTTGTTCAAAATTTCTTCGATAAACTTTGAGTTTATCTGAGTTTTCCAATTATAATAGAATGTGGATTCAAATTTATTTAACAAAAATTTTTAAAAATAAAAAATATTTAATTAATGTTTAATCTGAGTTTTATTAGTTCCAATTGGTTTGTTGATGATCAGACGTTCAGAGTCATTATCACAAACATGAATACAACTCCGTGTGTGGAGATGATGGTGTACAGTACAGAAACATTTGTGAACTTCGAAAAAGGCAGTGCATTGAACAACGAGAAATCAACGTGAAAGTGTATGGACTCTGCGGTTTGTGAGATCCGTCAACATTTGTGTTTTTTCATTTGTTTTAAACAAGCATGTATGTCAATCAACAGAATGAATATCAACAAACAATTTGTCATTTTCTGTGTACGTGATAATAAAAACATTTGTACAGATCCGTGTCGTGATTTTGAGCGCAAACACGGCTCAACATGCACTATACATCCGGACGGAGATTATGGTTCATGTGTTTGTGCTTTCCACTGCATCAACATGGTTTTTCTTTTTTTTTCCTTGATTCATCATCATTTTTATTTTTATAATTTCATTTGGTTCTTAAATACTAATAATTTTATTTTCAACGGTTAATTATATTAATTTGCATTTAACATCATTTTTTTAAAATATTAATTCAATGTTAGGAGGACGTGAATTGTGTGGTTCTGGTGGCAATATGGTCAGGAACGAGTGCGAGATGCGATGGAGTGCATGCAGCAAGCAGGAAGACGTCTACCACGTTCACGAAAGTTACTGCGGTCAGTTCGCTGGCTACTCTTCATCTTTATTATCAATCAAATCAAACACACACATACACATACATACGCTCACATAAGTTTGAGTTATACATAAATGTTTATATGTCACAATTAAGTAATTAATTAATTAATTGTTTATTTGCTAATTTTATTTTTATGATCGTGTCACTGTCGTATATTCTTATATTTTTCATGTAACTGTAGATTATTTATTCCATTAATTTTTTAATGTTCTAATATTAATATAAGTTAAAAATGTTTTTTTGAACAATTTTATTTCATAAAAAATGAAATTAGGTGCATCTTTAACAATAATATGCTATATTCTAGTTGCCCTCAAATTTTAAATTGAGCCAGTTTAGAAAATAACTAAATAAAATGAAATTACAGTTTGTTACACAAATTACAACTAAGATGATAATATAGTGTTCGTTCGGTTAGCATGAACAAAAAATAATGATAAGAATGGAAAAAATCACTTCAAAAATTGAACAGAAATTTGATCAAAAGATTATCGGCCTATCTTGCTAAATGGACAAACTTAAACAAGAACTGGAAGAAACTAAAAAAATAAACTCCACACCTGTAAGCCATGTGACCGAGAAGACATTGAAAACTCCAGCGTTTGACGGAGAGACTTTCTGGGGCATCTAAAATGCCCCTTTTGAGTCTGCAGCAAAGGATTATGGTTGAAATTAAAGAAAGGGGATAACAGCTCATGTGGTAGCGTTATGAGGGTCAGCGGCAGAAATTCTCCAAACGATTCCAGTCGAGAACCATTGTAACTATTAGGTCTTAGTAAATGCGTTGAATTTACATTCAGGGGAAAACACATAAAGCAATTATATCGGTCTCAGTTACGAAATCAGGGACCTGGCGCAGGATATTGAGCGGTTGACTCTGCTGTCATACCCTAAGTACCACCCACAACACAATGGTTGGAACGATTAAAAATATCTGACTTTGAAATTATGCACCGTAAAGGAACCTCCCACAACAATGCTGATACTTTTTCTCGTCGACCTTGTTTACCAGTTTGCAAATAGTGCAGTCAACTGGAAGAAAAAGTACAAACAGAAAATGTAAGAAAAATTGTGATAACGGCAGATACAGGGTAGGCACCGGATGAACTGGTAAGCACACAGTCTGCAAATGAAGACTTAAAATATGTCATTGCATGGAAGAAATCAGGCCGGCGACTTGAACGGCAAGACATATTCGAGTTCGGTTGGTCGTTGAAAAGCTACTGGGCTTAGTGGGACTTCTTGCATTTGGAAGATATTGTCTATGATCATCTGTGAAGTTTCCTTATTTCTAGTTGGCGAATTAATTGCTGGAAAGATATAAAATTAGGAAAGTGTATCAAGAAATTTGAGTGCATTGGAAGAATATACTTTATGATCAATTTTGAAATCGCCAGTAATATAAATATGTTTGTTTTCAGAAATAACAATATTTAGAATGGTTTGTAAAAAGTTAAACAGGTTATCAGTCTGTGTGTTAGGTGTTTTATAACCATTAATAATTATGAAATTTTTTTGACAGATTAGCTCAATGGCATCAATTTGTAGAACATTCTTTTCCATTTGTAAATCTTTCCTATGTGCATATTTTAAGTCAGTATTTTTAAAAAATGCTATGCCATCACCATGTTTGTTCTCTCTATTCACTGTTAAGATGCTATAATTGTTCAATGAAGCAGATTTGTAATTATGATTTTATATTTTTATAATTTGTGAAGGATATCACGTCAGACTTTATGTCACAATCATTTTTTAGTTCATCGATTACATCCAATTTGTTCAACAAGCTTTGACAGTTTAAACATAACAAATTTAAATCATTCAAGTCATTTGGAAAAACTTTGGAAATGAGCATAAACATTTTGTTCTGAAACTAATCAAAAGATCAACAAATTACTAGATAAACTTTTTGTAATGTTTGATTTATCTTTCGCTTCCGAATTGGTTAATTACTGTCACCGCTTGTTTCTTGTTATTTTTGTCATTATTTTTTTAGCTGCTACTACTACTAATACTACCACCACCTCAACTTCTACTATTACTGTTACTACTCCTACTACTACTATTACTGCTGCTGCTACTAGTAATACAAAAACAACAGCAACTACTACTATTGCTATCACTACTGCTATTACTACCGCCACCACCCCTACCATAACTTCTACTACGACAGCAACTACGACTACTACTGCTAATACTTCTGCTATTATTTATGTTATTATTACTGCTTATACTAATACTACTACTGCTACTACTACTACTACTTGTCGTAGTTGTAGAAGTAGTAGCAGTAGCAGTTGTAACTGTAGTAGAAGTACTTGTACTACCACTTTTATCACTACCAATATTGTTGTTGTCTGTTTTTGTAGTATCAGTCTTGTTACTATAATCATTATTGCTATTACCACAGCTATTTATTTAAAACTTATTGAAAATTTGAATAGAATTTAAGTGGTATTAAATTTTTGATTCATGATTTCAACTCGGTGTGCAAGGGCCGCTTTCATTGCGCGTTCGTCAGCAGTCATGAGAAAAATTGCCAGATTATTAATTTTTTAAATCTTTAATTAAAATTCAAATATTTGTTAGCAGCAACGACTACAGAGCAGCCAACAACAACTCCTTCACCAGTCCCAACTATGAGATCAACAATAACAACACCCTCCACTACAAAATCGCTAATTCCAACAACGACAACAACAACAACAACTACATTAACATTTAGAAGAACCCGAGCTACCACCACTACCACTTCTACCACTACCACAAAAATGTATAAAATACCTAAACCCACGCCACCAAAGACAACATCAACTACTACAACAACGACGACAACTTCAACAACTAAAACAGTAATAATGTGCAATGGAGTGCAGTGTTTGTATGGAAGTAGTTGTGTCGACGGAATATGCTCGTGTCCTGAGAACTGCCCCCTCGATGCTGACGACTACAACCGTTTGAGAATATTTGAAGATGAGGAGGACATGGAGGAAGCGGTGTGTGGCACGGATGGCGTCCTCTACAAGAGTGAATGTCACTTGAAGTTGACCGCGTGCAAACAGGCACTGCCCATTTACGTGCACCACTACGGAGATTGTGATGAAGGTCTTCCATGGCTAGGTTGGTGGATTACAAATGTACAAGTGGAAAAATGTTCATGAATTTTGTTTTGCACTTTTAATTTAGCAGTTTTCTAGTTTAGAAACTTGATGGATCTTTTTTCGTTTGAATGTTTTCTTTACTAAATTTAAAAAAAGTCTTATTCTCCAACATTTTTTAGACAATTTTTAATTATTCATTTATTAAATTATCTTCCCATTTATTTTATTTTTATTTTATTACTTTGTTTGAATTTAATTTCAAAGTAATTGCATAAAAACATTTTGTCTTCTTTTTTTTTCCTTGGCTGGTGATTTGCAAAGAGCGGTTTTGCAGCCAATGCACTGTTGTAGGTATCAGTAGATTCTGAACATTCTTCACCAAGCTTTTCCAATCAATCCTTTTCGTTTCAACAGTCTTTGCATGTGTTAGGTTAAGGCGTTGGTTTTGCAATATGTTTAATCCATGTTTTCTTTGGTGTAGAACTATGGATCTTCAAGGTACTATGTCGAGATTTCCAAAGCAGTTGGTGTGGTAGACGAGACTGGTTCATTCGAAACACATGACCAAACCATCGCAATTGCCGTCTTTGAATCGGTTCTTCGATGGTTGGTTGATTCTGGCATCTCGCTCTAACAGGCAGCATTACCTTGGCAAACACCAGTTTTGATGGCAAACATGGCTGATCGAAACATCGTATGTCTCTTAAACGAGAGTAATAATTTTAGGCGGGATATGTTCAGCTTCCAAAGTTGTCCACGGTGATGGCCAGTGTAAGCAGTCAAATGCGGATTTGAAATCGATGAAACAAATGACAGTGCGTTTGTTACATCTCATTCTCTCTTTTATTAGTTGGCGTAGGGAAGAGATTTGGTCGGAACATTCTCTGCTGGTCTGAATTCTGATTGTTCTTCTCTACTTGTTTGTTCTCGATGCTTCGTTTTGACAATTTATTTTGTAATAATGACAAATTTTAAAACTAATTTTTTATGATATCTCTTCAAAAAAACAACGAGCGTTAGTTAATTGAAACAATTTTACTTGATTGGGACATAAAATCATGCCAGCTCTTTTGTTTGCTTATTAATTTAAAACAATCAAACATTTAGTACTTTCCAACAATGAACTCGTCCTCATCTTCATGTATTTTCAAAAGTTTTATTACATCGTCATAAATTTACACTTCATAAACGGTTACAACTCCCACATGCGTTTGTAAGCTCGCAAGCACATGCACAGCCCAGCACTACGAACATAAAGTGCGCACGGTCACTGGACTTTACTAAGACAACCTTCGAACCAGGTCAATGATCACGCGTTTGTAGGCATGCAAGTACACATGTACGCATATTCATCATTTGTAATGCATGTATGTAAGGATACGTGTAGACGTCTAAGAATGCATGCAAGCGTAACGCTGTATGGCTTTTGTCCGCTTAAGCTAACTTGAATTAACCATATATTTTTTTACGAATCTATAGAATCTCTTTAAAATAATAGAAATGGAAAAAAAGAAAAGAAATACTTGCATTGGTTTCAAATAAATCTTAATAATTCTTCGAATAATGATGATCAAAATAGTTATAATAAATGTTTTACATCTTTTCATCTTTTGTCATCAACATTTGACAACCTAACAACTAGATTCATGCGAAACCAAAACGTGTTTGTATGGTGGTACTTGCGAAGTCATGGAAGAAAATGGGAAAAGAATTGAAAAATGCATTTGTTCACTTGACTGCTCCGATGTCAGGTTATTGTAGCGAAACAAATGTCTATTTTTTACTGAATATAGCATACTTTTAAATGGCTTTTTATGATAAGGCTGTAAATGTGTTACAGGCTCTTTAAATATTTTACGAGACAAACATTCGATTTGTTGTTAATAGTGTTTTTTATCCTTTTAGAGTAGAAATATTTTAATACATTTGTCTATTTAAAAAATGTCCGTGCTAATATCTATAACGTCCATTGTATTGATGACATGTGAGGCTTGGAGAAACGCTGACCTGAATAAGTTACTAGGCACTTAAAATAGTTTTTCTTGTTCAGGAAAATAAATTGTCTCAACCTGATTGAAACACTGGAACCTTAGATATGAAATATGTGGTTCAGACGGCAACCTGTACATGAACGAGTGTTACATGAGAAGATCGGCTTGCAGGAAGCAACAGGATATTTACCAAATTGATCCACTTTATTGTGAAGGTGGTACTTCTACTAATTACATTTTTTATTCAAACTGAATCAAAAAATATTTTTAAACTATTTTCACTTAAATTTTTTAGTAACTGATTTGTTTAGTTATTTGACGCAAACTTTTTAATCTAATAACACGAATATAAGATGCAAACTGAATGAGCCAGAAAAACATTAATTTTTGTAAAAGTCATCAAAAAATGTTTAAATATTTGGTCTTTTCTGATTCGATAAAACTTACTCCGGTTTTAAATCATAAAGTTACAAATTTCCTTAAATTATTGAGGACTCAATAATTGAGGGAAATTTGTAATTGAGTCCAACATTCGCCAAGTTTAATGAGTGATTTTGGTTCAGTTATCCGATGTTACCCACAACTAAACTGAAAAGAGAGGATGAAATTTCTTTTTGTATATCAAGATTCTAAAATTAAAACCATTTCTTTTTTAGTTTCTTTTAAAGTCGGTTTATAAAGTTCTAGATATTTGATTTCTTGAAATGAAAAAGTCCATTGAATGGCAGAATTAACCGTGTGCTTATAATATATTCAGAATTAACCGTGTACTTTTTTATAAATTCTTTTTATATTTTTTTCATTAAATAAAAAAATTCTGATTAAAATTTAACCAGCAATTTGAAAAAAGACATTATCTGACAATTTTTCTAACAATTTTGACTACAGACGTTATATCTTTTAATTTAGCTTAAAATACGCTCTTTGTACTGCAATCTTTTTTAATTAAAACTTCAGAAAACAACGCTGGAACGTTTTATAAAATCACCCTTTAGGGGTTGAAGAAAAACACTGCGATGGTTTTGAAATAGTGAGGGACGGCATGACGGACGAGGAGCTGCTCTGCAGGAATGACGCGCCATACGAGAAGTGTCCTGCCGACGCTTACTGCCACGTCATCGACCAAATAGGAAAGTGTTGCCATGGTTGTAAGTGTATTTGTAGCGTAAATATAGCAATACGATTATGACTACTTTGAAACCAACCGTGAATTAGTTTCATTTATGACTACTGACAAATATATTATTTTTATATATATTGTTATTTTTGAAGAATATTGAAGAAGATTTTTAATGTAAATGTATAAAATCAAAATGAACAACAACCGAAGATCAAGTCCTGTCGGGCTGTGAGACATCTGAACATGGTTGTTGCCCAGACCGATCCACATCGGCTCTTGGTCCGCAATATTTTGGATGCGATCTAGAATGTTCGTTGACGTTTACAATTTTGAAATTATATTTAGTTTTTTTGCTCATTTTTTTTCGAAGTTATCAACTGATTATTAAATTTTTAATGAAAATTACAAAAGCAAAACTTGCAAAATTAAAAATATTAAAAAATGGTTAAAATAGTTAATATAATGTATCTTATGTTGGATGTTTTTGGAAACATGTATTAATATTTTATATTTTGTGGGCAGCGATTGATGTCTGCCACTGCAACCCAGTCGGCTCAACATCAACTGAATGCGATGCAGCCACAAACAGGTTCATTAGGCTCAGTCTCAGTAGTTCTTTATATAAATAAAGTTCATTTTGAAGGTTTCAACTAACTTGTTCCACTCGCTTCAATATTGATCGTATCGTAAATTTTAATTTTTCAACTCAAATGTTTTCCTTAAAATTGTAAAAGTTGTTCCTGCAAGCAGAACGTTGGTGGCTTGAAATGCGACAGATGCCATTCGGGCTTCTGGGGCTTTCCTCTGATTGCGGAGGGCCAACCAGGATGTCACGGTGAGCCATTGAAGCATTTTTTATTGTAGACACCTCTCTACCTTCGTTTGCACTAAATTGTAACTGCTGACCACATCAGCTTGCAACTGTAATGCACTTGGATCTTTTAGGAGCGATTGCGACCAAATGACGGGTAGGTGCTTGTGTAAGGGTCACGCCATGGGAGACAAATGTCAATATTGCCTGAATGGATCGTGGCTCACTGAGCAGGGGTGCGTTGCAGGTATGATTTGTTCGCACTGTTACTCGATGTTTTTAAACTTTACTTCATGGTTAAAAAATATATAATAGCATTTGCTCTAAAATTGTTTTATAATAAAATTTAACGAATCACATTGATTTTTAATTTTTCTAATTTACCTTTGTCTGAACAAGAAAAGTAATTCTTTAAAACTGTTAAAAAGGAATAGGAACTATTTAGCGAAAATAAAGAACACGATATGAAGTATTTCCAAAGTTTTTATTAACTAATTCAAATAGAAAAAGATAAATTTTTTTTACATTTGTTAATTAAAAACATATTCATTGAAAATAGATTTCAAACCAATTTTTATCTAGCAACAACATTTGAAACCACCTTACGAAGCGTCGACATAAGCACGAAGAAAACAACACCCGAACCATCCAAGAAAACTACAAAAGCCATTGTGGATGCTAATAAAAAACCTAAAACGACCAAATCGTCAAAAAAGATGACCACAACTTCCGTTGTTAAAACGACTACGAGAAAAAGTAAAAAAATAACAAGTAAACCAAAAAAATCAACAACAATGAAAAGCATCACAACACATAAGTATAAAAAAACTACACTGGTTCCCACAACTTCGACCACGATCACACTCCCTCCGTCAACAACGCCAGAAGACATCTGTTAGAAATATTTTTTAAAAATAATTCATAGCTGTCTAAATATATATTGAAAATATTGAAAATGTCTAAACAATTAGGACGTTTTTAACATTATTCAAACACAAATGAGGTGTTGTATGTCAACATCATTCAAATACAAATGGAATGTTGTTTGTATTACTGACCAGCTTCCTCCTCTAGCTACATCTCCCCTCACTTCAATGGCGATTCTCTCATACGTCTCAGAAACCTGGTTCATGGCAAACACGATGTGACCATCAACATGAAATTTCTTCCTCTCAGTTTGGATGGTTTGTTACTCTACGCTGGACATTTAGACAAATTGAAAAGCGGATTTCTTTCTATCGCACTAAAAAATGGTTCTGTGGAGTTCAGGTCGATAACATTTTTTTTTCTCGAAAAATTTTCAATAAATTTTATTTGTTTCATAAAAAAATACGAACATAAATAATTTAAGATGCACCATTTGCGCCTGGTGTGATTTTATCATGCATTATTCGAACCTTGTAACTGTCACAGACAACATGTAAAAAAACAGATTCGATTTGGGTAGCGGTCCAGCTACTCTGAGAAGTGATGAAACGATAAAACTCAACCAGCTACATACGCTGTCTGCAACTCGATACGGCAAAGATGGACTGCTGAAGGTGGATGGCGGTTCGAATGTGGTCGGGGTGAGCAGGGGATCATCAAGGACCCTGGAAATGGATGTTCCACTGTTCCTTGGGAAAATTCCACATTCAGACATTGTGTAAGTAGGTATTTTTGTTAGTGTAACATAAATTTTAAAGTTGTTTTTTAATTTTTTTAAATTCAACAAACGGTCAACAGATTCGAAACATTTTCAAATAGTAAATGAAATTAATTTTTTTAATTTAATTTAATATATTTAAACAAAACGCCTTGACCGCAACTGTCACATAACTGTCACACACCATACCACAACACGCCGCACGACAACACGCCGCCCAAAACACCACGAACGACACAACACAACATGACAGGTCCAAGAAAAATAACCACGTTGACGTTGGATATGTAGGCTGCATTGAATCACTCAACATTTCAAGTTCTCTTCAGAACACCGCAGAGTACAACCTCTCGAAGGATCCTTCCTTTATAAACACTGACATCATCATGGAGCGAAAAATTTGTTCGTAGAGAAAATATATTCTTTTTACATTTTTAAACAGAAACTAAATGGGGCTATTGAAGCATAAGCTTACATTTTTTAGAATAAGTTACTTCGAACTATTTTGAAAATTGTCAAAAACGAAAAAGTATAGCAACAAGTGTAACATTCGGCAAAATAAATAAAATCATTTATTTAATTATTTAGTAAATTTTAATTTGTTTTTGAATTCAAAAAATGTGAACACATCAACAGTCAGATATATTTTACTTTTGTGAATTGCGGGATGGAACAGTTGAGCTGGTCGTTGTTTGACTGAATAATTAATAACCGTCTTTTTAGTTGAATGCAACTTTACATTGTTTGATAGAAGTTTCTATTCTTATTGAAGATGACTGCCGAGATGAGTGCATCCAGATGGAATGTCTGGAAGAGAAGAGTGACTGTTTCAACAGAACAAAACCATTCGTCTGCACGTGTCCACCAGATTACCATGGTTCGTTAAATGAACTGAACTCTCAATTAAACAAATTTTACACTTCATTCACCTTTGTCAAATAGATTTATTTTCATTGCCCAAAAAACTTATTTTTCAGCAATTTTTAAAATAGCGATTAATTTCATTATTATAAAAAAATATTAAATCCAGGTCTGATGTGCGAAAATGCTGGGAAGATTTCAGTCCATTAACATCCAAATAATAAATATAACATTTTACGTTAAAATTAATTATGTGTGTATGCGTGTGTGAGTGAGTTTGTGTGAGTGTATGTCGGCCGCATAGATAGTGTGCGAGTGCTGGTTCTATATTTTCTGACCACTAATACGCGCGTTAAAAAAGCATTTTAAATATTTAAACTCCATCAGCACGCCTGAGATGTGACCGACAGGTAGAGAGCATTTCACGCGAAGGCACTTGCACTGAAATTTACTCACGTTATAAATATTAGGCTTAGAACACATAATAAAACAAAAAGCTCGGTAAAAAATCACCAAGGTGAAATATGAAATACTGAAATATGTGACGTGCGCCGACTTTAAGATGTCACGTGGATGGCGTTTGGTGAACATTGTTTTATGATAGAAAATATTTTACCATGAAAATGTTTTTCTGTAAAAGTTTTGCTCAGAGTAGATGCAATCATCTAATCTAAATAAATGTTAGTGGCAAATTTTATTAGAAATCATCCTCAATTTTTCGTACTCTCTTCTTGGTTCTCAAGAGTTGACAGAAATAAATACTTATCTATACTTTCATGGAGAAGCTTACACCCATTCAACGTTAAATAACGTTGAAACTTTTTGCTTTCCTATTGTTACTCAACCTAATCCAACTTTTTTTACTTGTAAAATGATCCAAACTTTTTTCAATTCTTAGCTTGCAAACCAGCGTTGATATTATAATATTCAATATAGCGTTGTAAGGTTACAACTCTCGACATTCTAATTTCAAATGAAGAAGCTTGTTGAATTTAAATATTTAAAATAATAAATTTGTGATATTGTGATAATTGGCTGTTTTTTTTTAGATTTTATCTAAATAATAGTTTTTTAATAATATCTTATACGTAGTAGTAGCTATGCAATTGTAAAAATTTGTTATAAGCTAATCGTTGTCATTTTCGTGTTCATTCAATTATTTCGTTGATTGATTGACCGACCGACCGACCGATCGATCGATCGATATTGATTGATTGATTGATTGATTGATTGATTGATTGATTGATTGATTGATTGATTGATTGATTGATTGATTGATTGATTGATTGATTGATTGATTGATTGATTGATTGATTGATTGATTGATTGATTGATTGATTGATTGATTGATTGATTGATTGATTGATTGATTGATTGATTGATTGATTGATTGATTGATTGATTGATTGATTGATTGATTGATTGATTGATTGATTGATTGATTGATTGATTGATTGATTGATTGATTGATTGATTGATTGATTGATTGATTGATTGATTGATTG